CTGCAAATATGATGGCTAATATGTCTTGCGCTGCGTATACGTAATTTCTGGGGATGCCACACGTCCCCGGCGAGACCATCAAAAAACCGTTTGCTCGACCCGCCGCAAAACCGTGAAGCAATCTGCTCCTGACAACAAGCAAACAACAACCGTAGGCTGATGATGTTTGATCAAGGAGGGGGTCGAAGTTTGGGTACCCTGTCAGCTAATGAAGTGCTATTATAAATTGCTAAAATTTATAAACATTTGGAGAATAAAAGAATACTATAATGTACTTTGAATTGTATATGAAAATATGCGAAACAAAAAAGGTAAAAATAAATGAAAAAAATTTAATTAAATGAATAAATAAATAATCAATTTCTTGCGTTTACAATGTACCCATTTAAACACCATGAAATATGTAATTTTTTTTGATTCTGTATTGATTATAAATAATTGTGAAAGATATTTTTATGATCCTTTCTTAAAAATATTATCTTGTTAGAATCGCATTCCTTGAGTACCATACCCACCACAAATACCCTTTTACAGGGTATTGACAAACAGGGAACACAGTAAAACAGAACTGCCACTTAGGCGATGAGTGAAGTGAGTCGCTGGTTTTTGGGTCCTGCCACGCTCACCTTTTTCCAGGCCCACGAATATGTGGTCGTATGGTACCTAGATATGTCTGTCTGATCCGAACCCGAGAACGGGGCCACTTGGAAATTGCTTTGAAGGGCTGCTGATGTTGATGCTGCCTTGCCATTTCTCCTTTCTTATCTCCCTAAAATAGGCATTGTTTGCCCCGCTCAACGAATGTGTGTGTGTGTATGTGTGTTTGAGTGTGAGTATGTGTGTGTGGACCTGGCCCTTTCTTTTGATTTTTGCCATGCACGCATGAAAATTGTTTTCCTTTTGTTCCGAGCGCAGGACTCAGGACGAGCAGCAGCAACAAAAGCCAAAGGTTGTTGGCAGCGCCAGGAAACTATGCTATGGATTATGATGCTGCCAACAGCTAAGTGCGTGCCTCAAAAGGGGGCGTGGCCGGATGCGAAGGCAGCAAAAGGCCGCATATTGACAATGGGCGGCGGAGGTGCTCCTTCAGGTATTAAGGGCTTACCCAACCAGGCAAATGCAAGTGAATCCAGCTGGGTCTGCCGCTGAAGAGGCGTGATTGAAATCCAAATGCCAAGGGAAGCGGAAGAAACACCGAGAGGCAGGCGGAAGTTACGGCACTAGTTGGCTTTGTCAATCGAAAAAATCTCCAAGCCCTCGACAAAATGCAAGTAAAAGTGGTTTCACCGACTTTAAAGAACTCAAAAAACGATAAGCTTAAAAAAATGCTGTCACAAAAAAAACTCATTTAAAAAATATTTATACAAGGAAAGAAACCTTTTTTAAATGAAAACTACTTTTTAAAGTCCTTCAGCTATTACCACATATTTTAAAAATGTACAACCACTTTCGTTTATCCAAAAACCTTTCACAAAAAAGCCACAAAGTTAATTTCGCAAATCGTCCTGGGAATACGGATTTATTTAATCAGGCTCAAATGGCGCTTAAACCAGTTGGGTGAATGGAGCCGCTTACTTAGCGTCATTATGGCCAACGATTTATGCATAAGCAGCGAATAAGGAGCATTACAATTTGGCTAAATCTCGAAGCACCCACGTATGTGCTTGGGCATCCTGCTCATGTGAATGTGAATGCGAATGCGAATGTGGATCTGAATGAATCTAGCCACGGAGACAAACGGCAGCCACTTAAAACTGTCACAAGTTAAAAACCGCAAACTGCAGTCGCTACAAGGATTGCACCTACCAAAGGATTGGGAAAAGGGGTTGGAAAAGTGGGGAAAACCTGGGGGAGGGGCGGAAACCCGGCATGGGGAGCACGTAGGGAGCAAAGAGAGACATTATGCGACGGCATGGAAACACACAACAATTTCACAGACAATGAATACATTGGCAAAATGAGCGGGTGGGCGAAGGACTCCTAGACACGAGGACAAAGAAATTTAAATAAATGCATGTGCACGGACAAAAAAAAAATCACAACAATTGGTTGCTCACTGAGGGAAATAAATTACAGCAAAAAAAAGGTGTTACTTATTTAAAACACTTTAGAGATTTGTTGGAATTTCTTATTTACTTTCTTATTCGAATTGATACAAAGGTTTTTAGCAGCCAAAGGCTTTTCGGAATTATGTAATTTTGCTATCAAATGTTTTTATTTTTTGCAGTGCACTCTAGGACTCTGAGCATTTGGGGGACACGGGTGATTGAGGGAAGAGGGGAATGTGGTCCGGGTTAAAAAAGAGGAATGGCATTACAGCCACTCGAGGACAACGGCGAGCGATGACTTTGCATTTTGCATTAAATTTACTTTTTGCAACTTTCGAGATTCTCCAGGCGAAAGCAGTTTCAAAATTATTGCAGATCCTGGAACTGGAGTCAGCAGCTTCTTCTTCTTCTTCTTCTTTTTCTTCTTCTTCATACTCGCCCCTCTTGTTGGCCACATTTCAATGTTGCGTGTTGGAGTTATTTTAAGCCATCTTTGTTGTTTTGCTGTTTGTTGTTGTTGTTGGTGCTTACACACGCAAATGTCTTATTTATGCTCAGCACTTTTTGCCCCGCCGCCCACAACTTTTCCTCCACTTTCCCACCCAGCAGCAACTTCTTGCGGCTGAATGTCGTCGACTTTGCTTTCTGCTCATGGTGGCCACATTTCCTCACTTTTCACCCTTCTTTGGCTGTGCAGTCTGGGTTTTCCCCGAGCTTCTGCTCTGCGGTTCTGCTGCAAATGTTGCCTTTAACATAAGCTAGAATAGAAAATAAAAACTAAAGTGGAAACTTTGGAAATTATCATATTTTAGGGATGCAAGTAGGGAGTGGGAAATACTAGAGCAAATGGCTATATTAACGAAAACTGAACGAACAAGGTCCAAACAAAATCCATTCACCAATAGAATGCAGAAGTAGGTTAGTAATTTTAATTGCATCCTAATTTTTCGACCATGAAAATCACTATTTTTTAAAAAAAAAAGGCACAAAATGGTCTAAAACATGAATGTAATACCTCGTTGATCTAGTGAAATTATTTTCAACCCACTGGCATTCAAACCAGAAAAAACATTTTTTTTTTTTGTTTAATTTTGGCAAATTTTGAGGATATTACCCCGTATTAAAAAGTGAAAAATGACCAAAAAGGAGTTTTTCAAAGTCATCAAAAAAGTGATGTGAATCGTTATCTATAGTCGTCAGCTATAAAGATCAGTCGTTCTTTTAGCTGTGGGACTCATTTTGCCCAAGTTACGGCTTAAAGTATACAGAGATATTTTCATTTTTAAGCCAAAAGTGGACATACTAGGATTAGAATTAAATAGTACACATTCCCACATGCATTGGATGCATGCCCACGCATTGGAATCCACATTTTATGACAACAGGGGGTCCTTGCAGCATCCCCACTAATCCCACAATCAAGAGGCAAGCCTGCCAGTCCGATTGTTCCTTGCAACACAAAGCTCGGATTGCATTTGGCCCGACTTTTGTGCGGCATCCTCCTTGCAAGGATTTTCGCTCCGCCATCGTACTTCAACTTCAGTCCGGGCTTTCTTATGCAAAATCCATTCTTGTTGCTTGTTATTCTTGCATAAAAGAAAATTGTTTATATAGCTGAGAATATATATTTGACGAGGAGTGGGGCCAGTGGGATTCCTCGAGGAAGAGTTGCCAGCGCATACTTTATTTTCTCTATATTTTTTTTTCGGGGGGCACAAGAGGACAGACCGAGCTGCTTAGCCGTGGCTCTAATAGAGCCTTGCCAGGACTTCTTATGCTGCTTATTATGGCTGAAAAGGATTCCCCACCAAAGAACCCCCAATCTCCGCTTTACCTTATTTATTGTCATGGATATTTGAGTCAAGTTTTTCGTCCTTCGTCCTTCGCTCTTCTGTGGCTCGTGGATAATATACAATTTTTTAATGGCACATAATCACGTTAACTGAAAACTGTCGTCGCCGCTAACTTAATAAGCAGAAGGTCCAAAGTTCCCAGGACGTTGGAGGGCCGGACAGCTGGGCACGTTATGCAATTTAACAGAATTATTTAAAACTCAACAAAACTTCTGAAGTGGGGCATGAAAAGCGAGCGGCAAAGTTTGCAACATGGCAACACAACTTCACTCACCATGGGTCAGCGTTGCAATGGCAACTTTTAAATTAACCCTAATTCAGACTGCGCCAACGGCAACTTAATATAAATAAAAATAAAATTTAAATACAAATAAAAATGGGAAAAAAAAAATGCGAGAGAGAGAGAGGAAAAGAAATGGTGGCCAACAAGTTTACAATATTCTTGCGCATTCTTCAACTTTAACAATTTATTAAATGGGTCAAAAGCCACTAAAACTTCATTTATCATTGCATGAGCAGGCACTGCACCACGCCCACCGCCCACCGCACACCGTCCCCTAACCCGCCACGCCCACCCATTCCGCCCACTGCCAGCCAGCACGTCAGCCCGTTGAAATGCCAACAAATCGCAGAGACGAATGAGCTCAGCAAACTTGAAGCGTTTCCGGTATGCCGCAACTACTTTTTGCCCATCTACCCATTCCAGATTTCCTGGATTTGGATTGGGCATGATGGCACTTTGAGGCAATTTGTCTCGGAAATGGGGGGGCTTTCCAGACTGAGTCCTCCAAATGCGCTGTGCACAAAAGTTTGTTCTATTAAGTGAAGCTAGCTTCTATTCCAATTTAAAGTTTACTTATCTTTATTTATTATCATTATTGTCTTTTCCGGAAAGAGAACTTTGTAGGGTAATCCAATGTCTAAAATGCTCCCCCTTTGAATTTATTTGCACTGCACTATTATCGTGTCTTTAAAGACTTTAACTATTTACAGAGTTGTATTTAATTTAGCATCGCGTGGACTCAGATAATATTAGAAGAACATACGATGGCGAAATGTGAAATAAGGAAGGTTAAATAATAAATTCTTGATTTATTTTTTAAGCTCTCATGGTGGTAACATCGAAACTTCTCGTCTGACGATTTGTTGGATGGACTGTCCAATTGGGACGACGAGCGATTGGCGTGGAATCCCTTGGGAATATAAATATTAGACTTCTCGTGGATCGAGTTATACTCGGATTTGTGGGCCTGGTGGTTCGAGGCGCAGGTGTGGAATCGATAAAAATAAAAGTTAAACCTCTAGTTGTTCTGGTAAAAGGCCTGGTCCATAAAGTGGATCGTGTGGCTCTAACTGGTGGTCTCGTGGTCACAGTAGATCCTACGGGTCTGGTCCACAAGGTGGCTCTATTGGTGGGTCTCACTGTGGGTCGAACAGTGGGTCGGATTGTAGGTCGGATTGTGGGAACTGTAGGTCTGACTGGAGGTCTTGTCCATAAAGTCACTCGATTGGTGGGTCTTATTGTGGGTCTTGTGGGGTTTGTAGGTCTCACTGGGGGTCTTGTCCATAAGGTGGCTCTATTGGTCGGTCTTATGGTGGGTCTCACAGTGGGTCTTATGGTTGGTCTAACAGTGGGTCGTACAGTTACTCTCACAGGTGGTCTTGTCCTTGGAGGCGTTGGACGAACTGTAGGTCTTGGAGGACGCACTGGAGGTCTTGTCCACAAAGTGGGCCTAATATTTCGTTTGGTGGGTAATATTCTTGTAGGAATCCGCGTCCAAATTAAAAACTTTCGAGTGGTTGGCACCAGAGGTGGTCTAGTTGCTCTGGGAGTGGGTTTTTGAGTTACTGGTGGTTTCCTTGTAATGGGAATTCTTCTGGTGGGTTTTCGGGTTACTGGGGGTTTTGGCACTCTCACAGTTGGTTTTCTGGTGATAGGAATTCTTCTGGTGAACCTTGGTGGTGGATTTGTGGGTCTCCTGAACGGCGGTGCAGTTGGTGGTCGTACATATCGCGGTGGTGTTGGCCTGGGAGGCACAGGTCTTGGCGGTGCTACAGGCCTTGGAAGCGGTGGTCTGATAACTCGGATTGGAGGTGGTGGAGCTCTCCTGGGACTCTCCTCCGCAATTGGCAGAGCAGCAGGTTCTTTCGGTGGTGAACAAGCCGGTGTTCCATTGGCCTGGCCGAGAGCCAAGCAGAAAACCCAGCCAACAAGCGCCAAGGCAAGACGCATTTTTTTGCTCGTCGCGAGCGAACAGTCCGATTTATATAGGTTACTGTACAAAAAACCATGAATAAACACAGATGGTTGGCAAAAGAAGTTGTGCCTTTGTCTTTAGACTTCACTCGGTAGTTAAACGTTTTATTAAACATACATAATTACATGATTTCTTGCGTTTACCGCCTGCTTCTCGTGTCATTTTGTCATTTTGGTTTTCGTTTTTGGGTTGGGTATTGTATCCTTTGTATCATATGTATGCGCATTGTGTTTAATACTTGTACATTCTTATATAAGTGTATACCGTATATGAGTATGTTTTCTTTTTCAATACATATATATATAGAGAGAGAGTTGTCTTTAAATATCCGCTCAACAAACATAACTGTGAGTGCAGTTGTACAGAATGCATAATACTAAGGTTTGTCTACCCGATAAGAAATTCCAAGAAATACGGTGCTGTACACAAGAACTAGCGTATTATAACTAGAAAATATCCAATCAAATTTGCTATCAACAGTATTTAATAATAATGTTTACAGTATTTTATATTTAATGTTTATGTATATATCGAGCGAGAGATTTGCTTTGTTCGCTTACATTATCGTCGTCGAGCTGAAATAAGGAAAAATATCTCTTAGGTACAGATACAGTTTAGTTTAGTTTGCCTTTTCACTTTGGTGCGTCAACTTCAATATACTATATAAACGTATATTATATATTTCTATTTAATATATGCTTCCTTAGGTATGTCAAAATATGTCATTTGTTAGTATATTTGTGTAAAAATTAAAATATTCAACAGTTGATTGCAATGAGGCGGATTTCCATAATATCATTCGTTTCAACATTTGTTTATCCTTTGGTTTAAGTTTCGGGCTTTATTTTTGTTTGTTCTCATCTCTAATTTTTGTTTATCTCATTTAGTTTTTGTTTGAATGCAACTACATTTATATTTCATAATACATATTATTTTAAATTTCTCAATTTTGTTGCTCTGTAATATTGCATAGAATTTCGGAAACGACAAGATCTTTTTAAACTTTCTAAACATTTTGAATTGTTTTAAATCAGGAAAATACAATATTAATTCAGGGTAAGCCTCTTCGAAAATTATTAAAATTGAAAAGTATTCTAATTGAAAATGAACTATTTGGTTTTTCTTTACAAGAAACGCCCCTAGCTGGTTGGGAAACCCATACGGTGCGTTTCAAAGCCATAGGACAAGGGATAATCTAAATTAATACTATAAAATAGTACGGTGAACATCATAGTCATAATCAACTGCGGCTAAGCGAAGCAGCTACCACTGCTTCCCGATGTCCTGTAGCCTTGGAACGCCCCGCATTCACATTTGCCATTTTTGTGTTTCAACTATCTTTGTTATTGTATAGGTACGTAATGTGTGATTCGAGGGGTAACCCATGCGTATGAGTGATTTGCTTGGTGATCGCCCAAAAGCAGGCAACAAACTCTGCATGTTCTCAACTCAAAACTAAAGCCGCGCGAATTCCGATCGCCCGGCGCCATGCAACTAATATAAAAAGGCCTATAAATATTATAGATCGGCACAATATATATATATACACCTATCCGTACACACACATATATATTGCCCTATGTATATTGCTAAGCTGCTATGTGAAAATTCGTTTCGATTTCCCCCACTCTCTCTATCGACTTTGTAACCAATCCAACTCATAATCAGAATCTTTATGCTGGCTATGTGGCAGGTCCTATATAAAATATATATTTGTGTATATGTATATGCTATGCTATGTGTAGATCGTATGTTGACTGCCCAACAAATCAAAATAAAGCAATGCAGTTATGCAATTCATATTGCAGGCCAATGTCCAAGATATGTTTGCGGTTATACTTTGTTCGTTTTAGTTTACTTTCATTTTTTAGTTCTGTGAGTATGAAGATGGCCTGAATGGCGATTACGGGGATTATGATTACCCCGCTTACTGAGCGAACGGATTGTGCGGATTGGCCCCGGGAATGTCCAGGTTACCGCCAGTGGTCTGGTAGGTGCCATAAGGTCCTCCATTCGGGTTCATCTCATTGAGGCGCGAGTTGGACAGAGCGCGTGGAATCGGATTGCTGGGAACGCCATGGGGAGCTAGATGAGAGGTCTCCTCAGCCACCTGGAAAATAAGGAGATTGTTTAGTAATTTCAATTATAAAAAGGTTTTAAAAGAAAGTAAAACAATGTTCCAATTTAAAGAAACACTTGAGATAAACTATAAGCATCTCTATGTATTTTAAAAACGATTACCAATGATTAGTACCTATTAGTTGACTCACCTGATGCGGATCCTCGGTGACTGGAATCTCGGAGATGAAGCCCTGCTCCTTGCGGTAGAAGTTGACGAAGATGAAGAAGCCGAGGACGAAGAGGCAGGCGATGCCGTACCAGCGGAAGGTAGTAGTAGTACCGTAGTAGGTGACGAACATGCCGCCGATGATGGCGCCACAGCCGCGTCCCAATCCGTGGTGGATGCCCTGGAGGACGCCCTGGGCGGAGGCCCTCAGATGCTTGGGGGTGTTGTGGGCGATGTAGGAACAGGAGGCGGCCCACACGGCCGCATGGGTGATGCCCTGCATCAGTTCGAAGGGCAGGACCATCCACGGATTGGTCAGATACGAGATGTACAGGAAGCGCAGCACATTGCCAATGAGTCCGAGGCAGAGGACCTTCACGTGACCGATTTGGGTGATCAGCCGGAAGCTGAAGAAGTAGGCGAAGATCTCCGACACATGGTTGATGACCGAGGCCACGCCGAAGAGTGTGGGAGTGCCGCCGTAGTCCTGCAGATGCCAGAACAGAAAGGTGAAGATCAGACCGATGCCGAAGCCCATGAACCAGGCGACGAACAGAAAGGAGGCGGTCTTCAGGTCCTTGAAGTGGGTCAGCACGGTCATCCATTCGGGCAGCTCCTTGGCTGTCTGGGCGAACACCTTCGACTCGGCTCCAATGTGCGGCTGGGGCTGGTGGCCAGCGGCCAGGAAGCTGCTGACGCCACCGGCACAGGCACCCGAGGCGGCACTGCCGCTACCAACGGCCAGCGATGGCAGGTTCAGCTGAGCGGCCAGCTGGTTCATCGACTCCTCCTCGGCCCGCTTGTTGGGATCAAACATCTGGGCCTGCTGCTGCTGCGCGGCCAGCTGCTCGTCGATGGGATCGTACTTGAAGGTGATCTTCGAGGCCGAGATGATCGCACAGGTCATCAGCACCGAGAAGATCGAGAAGCAGATGTTGTAGTTCTTCTCCTTGTTCCCGGCTCCACAGGGGTGATTGGAGAACGAGGTGGAGTGGTCCAGGGCGATGCCCACCAGGAACATCGAGATGCCCCAGCCCAGCGATCCGAACATCCGCTGGTGGCCATACTTGTCCGCATCCTCGCCGAGCAGAGTGATCACCGCCGAGTCCGCCAAGGTGATCGCCGGTGCGCTGAAGAACTCGCCGATCAGGATCACCAGGAGGAGAAGGAAGAAAGCCTTTTGGATGTCCTGTGGAGGGTAAGAGAATCATATTAGTAAGCCTGATAATAAAAATGGTATATCTTTAATGGCAGCTGCTCTATTCAACACAATAAAACATACCTAAAAGGTAAATCTTGAAGTGGGAAAGAATGGGTTACAAAACAAATATTAGATAAATTCTGGTTATCAACATTTACAACTAATGAAAAGCTTCTTAAACTAAAATACAACAATTACAATAATATAATATATCATATGTTAAAATCAAACATTTTCTTAGTTTGCACAAAAGAAGTACAATTTAAGGTATTACTATAAAAATAATACTTTAAAAGGAAATAGTTCCATATTTATAACAATCATATAGTACTGAAGTACTCAAACCTATCTAACTATGATAACAAACCTCTAAAACTTTAAGCTCTACAAATGGAAATTTATAAATACCCTTAGCTCTTTTAGTTCAGATTATTTTATGCGAGAGGTTATTCCTAATCTTAGTTATTTATTTAGCTTGAAAATCCCTACAAGAAGTACATTCTCCTGAGTAATCTTACCGGAGTCCTGTAGACCATGGAGCTGAAGATGGGCGTCACGTAATCCCTGTGGTACTTGTCGTCGTAGTTGCTCACGAAGTTGATGTGGACCGGGGAGATTCCCGCATCGATCCTGGGCAGCAGCAAGGACCTCTTGTGTCGGCTGTGGGATGCCTCCGCCTCTTCGAGAGCTTCGTCCGCCGGCATGGTTCCAGTGCCCAGATCCATTTGCTCATGGGGTTCGTACATGGCCGAAAGATCCCGCTTGGTTCGCGTGTAGGTCAGCACGAAGTCCGTGGAATTGCGCCTCTCAATGCAGTTGATGGCCTCCGGTCGGATGAAGCTCAGCGGAATGGTGAACAGAACCCAGCAGGCCAGGGAACCCAGAAGCAACCTCTTTCCCTGCCTGCAGCGATCCGCATAGGATCCCCAGAAGGGAGCCGAGAGGAACTCCACGAAGGGCCGCATTCCCACCAGGATGCCACACTGGCCGGGATTCATGCCCATCTGCTTGAAGTACACGCCCATCAGCGGAAACAGCGATCCGAAGGCGGCATAGAAGAAGAAGTAGAAGCTCTTCACCGGAATCAGCTCCCGCTCCGTGCTGGCTCCGAAAAACATCTCCAGGATGTCCGAGTGGCCGCGTACTTTGTGCGTTGATTCCTTGGCCTCCGGATATCTGATGGGAAAATATAGTAAATTATTAAGATATAACAATATATATTACAGAAAAAAGTTTTAAGATAATTAAATAAGAAAAGAGTTTGAAAGTAGACTTTTTAACATGTTCTCAAATCTTGATACTGAAAATGACTTTTTAATGTATCACCCTCTCTACTTACAGATTGGGATCCACCTCGCCACTGGCCTCCACATCCACCCGTGGTCTGGCTCCAGGTGGTCCGTATCCCTGCTGCTGCTGCTGCTGATTGCCGAAGTTCATGCCCTGGTCGTAGCCACCTGTTGCCTGCTGCTCGTAGGCGTAACCCTGCTGGCCATAGCCTGCTCCACCGGCAGGAGCTCCAAAGGGGTTGGCACCTCCGCCACCGGCTCCTCCGCCGCCGCCCGCTGTGTAGGGATTCATTGTTCGCTGGTTCCTTGAACTCGGATGGTGCCTGCTGGGTGGTCGTGGGTGCTCCTCTGCTGATTCCTCGCCTCACTGGTTGCTGGTTTTCCGCTCTTGACTGGCACTTCCTTTCGGTCTGGTCTCTCGTCGCCCAGTTACAGCCTCATTATCATCTCCATTATCATTCGGCAGCTGAGAAAACAAAGGACACCATTCAGCATTACCATTTCCATTACCATTGCTTTGTTTTGCCTCACACACACACACACACAACAATAGAGAGAAGGCCATCAAGAAATGGTCTTTAAGTCGGTAAGCACGAATTGGAAATCACTACCATGACGTAATGAGAAACGAGTAATGAGAAATTGGGATAGCAAGTACTTTGGAAAATACAAAAAGTTTAATTTAATTATGAAAAATGATTCAAAATAATATTATTTAATAAGTATACCTTGAATTTATTTTGTAAAGGAACCTATAAAATCTCATTATTTTGATAGTGTATAATCCGGATTACTGCCCTGTACATAAGGGAAGGCTCAACCGGAAGCCACTCATGTTGCTCCCACTCAGGAATTCGAACAATTACAGCTGTCAACTGCTTCCGTTTGACATTTTCCAGTTCCTTTGATAGCCTTTAAGTGGGCATTCAAATAATTTACTCTTTCCACTTGTCATTGCAGGCAAAAAAGCATAATTCTGCGACTTGGCAGAAGCAAAACAAACAAGCTCTGTCATTCACTCGCATTTTTTGAGTGAACTTAAGCGAGTTGAGTGAATTAGCTGGTGAGCTTTGAGCGTGAGTAATTTCTATTCAATTTTTTGTTGAGTTTACTGGTATCACACATACGCACCGTTGGCACATAACAAATGTGGGTAAATGGGTACGAGGGTGTATGTATATGTGGGTTATTGTCTGTATATAGAGCAGACTTGTTGTTGCTAACAATTGGGGATTTTTCAAGGAAAATAAAACATTTTGGAAATTATGTCTGGTAATGCAAAGATGTACTCTTTATACTAAACTTCAAGAAGAATGATGGAAAATATGCTATGAATATGTTTAATATAATCCTTTAAAGGTCCAAATTCATAATCAACCTTGCTTTAAATCACAAAGCTAGTCATTTAGATTAATAATATAATGCAAATCCCTTTAGAAAGGATGTATTTTCAGATGTATTCCTTTTTTAATGGCCCACACGTGCCCACAAAAACTGAGGTACATATCACTCTCTATATATAGACAATTTTCGCACACTTCTTGAAGGCCACTGTCACCGTCTGAGACACTTGAGGCGAAAGTCCCGTTAGGGTTCGCACCTTTCACCCAGTTATTATGTAAACTTTGTCGCACTTTTCACCTTACTATCGAATATTATTTTTACACACCAGAAATATTGTTTGGCTCGATGGATTTCTTGAACCTTTTGCTCCTCGGCTGTGTGGTAAATGTGTTACGTGCGTAATCGATAAGCAGAGTTTTCCTCGCGTCTGGCCTCTATACGAGCGTTTGGCAAGCTGCCCAAGAGTTTTCCAAAAGAGCCCCGAAAAGAAAATGTTGCGCTCAAAAGCGGACGGAAAAGCTCGCTCAAGCGCGTTCCGCTGTCGCGTGCGAAGGTGTGTGTGTGTTAGTGTGTGTGTGTGTGTGTGTATCCAGTCTAATGAGATTTGACGCGACCGACAGCAGGACTCCAAGGAGAGCGAAAGAGACAGCCCGAGTGAAAGTGACAGCTTGGCGCCAAAAATGTAGTTTAAATTTAAGTCGTCGTCAAAAAAGAAATAAAAACAAAATGACTTATCACTAAATAGGAACGAATTCAAGAAATAAATTATTTAATTACGATTTTAATTCGAAATGGATCCAAAAACTATAAACAGCAATCATTTTAAATTATATTCATATTAATTTCTTTTTATAAATTTATAAATTATATTTTTAGTATATGAATGATTTTTTACAAGAACAATATTTTTTCAAAAATACAGTCTAAGTTTGGTGACAATGAGCAGGTGATTTTTTAGGCATCTCCGTATTTTGCTAACCGCCCCACAGAATGTAATTTACTGCGCAATTGCGCTGCAACAATTTACATTTTCCGAAGAAAAAGCCAACTGTCAAGCCACTCACCTTCGATGGCCTATTCGTTGGTGCACGTTGTGAAAAGTCCCCAAGATGGGGAACCACCGGTGCCCACAGATAAGACGTGACTGCCACTCAAATGTAAACAGATCGGTTGCTCCTATAAAAAGCAAGGCGTTCCAATCGAAATTAATTCAGTTTGATCTGTCTATTCCAAGCATAATGAAGTTTACCATCGTTTTCCTGCTGCTGGCCTGCGTTTTCGCCATGGCTTTGGCCACTCCCGGCAAGCCACGCCCCTACAGCCCACGCCCAACTTCCCATCCACGCCCAATTCGAGTGAGGCGAGAGGCTTTGGCCACCGAAGATCACCTGGGATTGGCTCAAGCTGCGTACAGGCCACCTCCCATTCTTCCCCAGTAAAGACGAGCAATCCATGGAAAAATATAACCCGAACATCCGAACAAAAATGTTTTTGCAACCTGTCTTAAATATTGTATCACTTTGTAAACCTTAATAATAAATACAACACAGCTCAAAAACACTTTCCTGCTTTTTACATTATCTTATCAATATTCTATACGAATATTAGGGGGTTCCTCATGCGGTCGTCAACGGATGCTGAGCTCTAGAGCTGATAAGAAATATAGAAACCACAAAGAGTCACGTTTCAGAGACAATAAATCTAGAGGTATTTAATTTGCGACTCTTGTGATTCACAAACCGGTCTTTTTCTTGATTCCTCTAAATAACAAACAAATTGCCCAGATGGTTGGTCGTTATAATAAATGGATTTGTCAATTTGCAAACAACATGACAAGCCCCCTAATAAAAACCTTAATTAGTTATTAATTAATAGCTTTATTTCGAGAAAGTAATAAAACATTACGCATAATGAAATATTTACCAATCGACATTTTTAGTAACATTATTATAATTTATAAAAAAAATACTGATTTTAAATGTATTTTGTTAAAAAGCTTTTAAAACAGTCTTTTTTAAACTGTATACTCTATTTCAAATATATTGTGGTTTGTTCTTAAAAAGTTTTATTTTTCAGTGCAAGCTTTTCGGTGACACTTCGAGTTAAAGTTTCCGCTCTCCTCTCTTTTGGCTTGAATCCTTTTTGCCTGCTCCTGCGCAGAAAATTCAATTAGGATTCGGCTGAAACTTCACTCAAATCGCGCCGCTCTCTGTTGCTCTACTTCGCTCATTACCCCTTCCAGCACCCCAAGGATGTTCCTTCCCCCAAAACCGATTGATAAAGCCTGACATCAAGTGAGAAATATGATAGCGAATCGCTTATAACTGTCAAATGCTGTCCTGCGCAAGATGATGATGCGCTTCTTCGTAGGGCCACAAAGGAAACCACTTGAAGATGCCAGCAGAGGTCCTAGGGTGGGGTGAAATCAGCACAAAGAAGCAACAAGTGGCGTCAATAGGTCGCAATAAAAGGGAGGTGAAGAGGTCAAGTCACCCAGGCACACAAACAAAAGGCAAAAGTAAATCACCCATCAGATTTCAGCGGGGAATTCCTAGCAGATAAGCACCGAAATCTACACGCAGATGAATCTTGGAAACCACCGGCACAGTTCTTCCCCATGAAGCAAGGTATAAAAGCGATTCATTAGCCACCTTGGGTCATCAGTCAGCTTCAGTAATCCAATCCAGCAACATGCAAAGCACAAACATCCTAATCGTGGCCCTTGTGGCAGTTTCCGCCATTGTGGAGGCAGTTCCTCATGGAGATGTCTATCGAGTCCGCCGTCAGGTATTGGGTGGTTCCTTGACCTCAAATCCCGCTGGCGGTGCTGATGCTCGTCTGGATCTTACCAAGGGCATTGGCAATCCCAACCACAATGTGGTGGGTCAGGTTTTCGCTGCTGGAAACACGCAAAGCGGTCCGGTCACCACCGGCGGAACTTTGGCCTACAACAAGTAAGTGTAACAAAAATATTTATGAACCCCAACTAAAATTAAATTTATATCTCTACAGTGCTGGTCATGGTGCCTCGTTGACCAGGACCCACACGCCCGGAGTAAAGGACGTCTTCCAGCAGGAAGCTCATGCCAATCTTTTCAACAACGGCAAGCACAACCTGGATGCCAAGGTGTTTGCCTCCCAGAACAAACTGGCCAACGGCTTCGAGTTCCAGCGCAATGGAGCCGGTCTCGACTACTCCCACGCCAATGGGCATGGTGCCTCCTTGACACACAGCAATTTCCCCGGAATTGGCCAGCAACTCGGCCTGGATGGACGTGCCAATCTGTGGTCATCGGGCGATCGGGCCACTCGCTTGGATCTGACAGGATCTGCCAGTAAGTGGACAAGTGGACCATTCGCCAATCAGAAGACCGACTTTGGAGCTGGCCTGGGACTCTCTCATCGCTTTGGTTAAACCTTATAGTATATTTGTTATCACTTATTTATTTAAAGAAAAAATAAAATCAAAAACTATTTAACTTATATCTTGAGTATTGTAATTTGCTCCTACCAAAAGCATCATCCAGATCAGAAAGTATAACTTTACAGAGATTTTGTTTACGGTTTTCTGTTTCTTTTTTTTTATTTTATTTTGTAGTTAATTGAATATTATGCTTATTATACCGCACTTGCGTAAACAATTCGATCCCACTCAATGATTAATAATTTTGCTTATGTTAATTTAATGGATTTTGTTACATTTTTTTGTTGTTGTTGTTGTAGTTGCTCCTGTTGCTATATTTACCAATATCGGTTTAATTTTGTTTTCGCAGAAACATAAAACTTGTTTGGCATGGACAAGGCTTGGGAGTTATTGGAAAATACAAAAGGAAACTATGAAAAGTCTGCTAAGTATGCTGATATCATGTGTAAATTGAATAGTGCTTCCTGCGCTTCGCTTACGACAACTTCTTGGCCTTCTGGTAGAGTGTATCCACCACCTTGCCCATGCTTTGAATGGTTTCCAGTACACGTTCATAGGTCTTATCCACGGGCGTCTCCTCGAAAACAATGAGCACTCCTTCACCCTGATCTAGAATGCCGCTGAACTTCTTGTCCAGGATCATTTGGGAAAGCTTCTTTTCCACCTGCGGCATGGGCAGCTGGATGCTCTCGGCCACATGGGCGACCTATAAATTGGATGTAGTAAATTTCAATGATTATGAAAAAAAGGTTATTAAGATTACTCACCTGCACACGGGAGTAGGGTTCGATGATGCGGCACAAGTTTTGCTCCAGCATGGTGTCGTATAACGTTCCCAAATGCGCCTGAACAATCACATCCTCGGCCAGCTCCTTTTTGTACTCCTTGAGCGCAGCTTGAAAATCGGCCAGGGAACGTTTGTGTGAAGCCTCTGCCACCGATTTCATTGCATCCACATCGCGGCCCGAGTAGGTGATGGCCTAAAAACAATAGATATTAACAAAAAGGGTTCATAAGAGTAAATATCTCGCCTGGCTTACCAGCTTTCCACTAACGATCTGGTTGACGTCGTCCGACTGTCCCAACATGATCTTGCACAGCAACATGTATTTCAGCGAGGTCAGGGCCTTCACACTGTCCACGCTGTCAAATCCCTCGAAGGCCTCATAGAAGTAGGAAAAGGCGGTTTTGAAGTCACGCTCGTCAGCAGCATGCAAAATGCCCGACTGCAGATCCAGAGCACCCTGCACCTTTGGCGGGCAGTAGATGGCATTGGCCGTTGTGCGGGCCGAGGTGAGGGCGGCTCTGGCCTTGGGCAAGTTGCTCAGGGCGTGGTAGGTTTTGCTTTCCAGCAGCTGGACCTCAACCAGCAGATTCTTATCGTCCAGTTTCTTCAGCTCACGCAGCAGTTGAGCACCGAGAGCCAGGGCCTCCGTATACAGAGCAGTATCGAAATATAAGGCAATCAGACGGGCCTCCAGCGACTGACGAAGGAAGGTGCGCTTTTCCTGCTTGGCCCACTCGATGCAGTCTTTACACAGTTGAACCTGGAAAACAGAGGTATGTATTAGCCATATTAGTAAATGAACAAAAATTCAAAGACTCACCTCAATGCCTGTGCCTGCGTCCATGTCCAAGAACATGTCCACCAGCGAACGAACGAGCTTCGCCGCCTTGGCCTTGCTGATCGAGCTGAGGAACGGACGCGTCACCTTGATGAGATCGGCCAGCTCTTTGGCCTTGCCTTCTTGCTTGTAAAGCTCGCCCTGCTGCAGAATACCCTGCTCCTTGATCCGGATGCGCTCCTCATCGTTCTCGGCGCCCTCCTGGTCACGGACAATCTTGTTTAACAGCGAGCTGTCCTGCTCCTCGCGATTCACGCTGGACAGTGCCTGGGCACGCTCGAAAAGTGTTGCTCCGGCCATCTTGCGACTTGGAATTTGGATTTGGATCGGAAATGGGGGCGGTCAACACTCGGTTTTTACCAAATTAATCAATAAACTAAGCGTTTTCTAACTGAGCCACTTTAAGCGCGCGAATTTTTTCTTTGTTTTCGATCGGGTTATTGGTGTATTTAATGCGTATTTACGTGTTATTTGCTGACTTTTTTCACCTTTCGGTCGTTGTTATTAAGCGCCAGTCACGATTAGAGCTGGTGCGATTTCGATTGACGCGACTCAGCCGCCACCGATACGCCACAAAGGCCAAAGTAGCGCAATCGATCTATCGCATGTCGTAAGTAATCGGCAGTAACCGGTTTAAATTGTACAAAAATAAATGGAATTAATTAGCCAAGAGTAACCTCGAAAGGTGTTATTATTTATAAAATACTTATAATTCTTTTTTTAAAATGACTCCAAAAATCACGACTTTAACACCGCGTATCGATAAAATGGTTTTCTAACTTCTGAAACGTTATCGACATATCGAAGTCTCTGTTTGTTTTGTTGCAATTTGCTTATTGCAAACAATTGGTTTTGAATACTCGGAATGGGTGAAGAAACGACCAATTCTACACAAAATAAAACGAGAACGAAGACCACGAGACCCAAGGCGGTTTATCAGTGGACAGTGAGCGATGTGCTCAAGTGGTATCGACGCCACTGTGGGGAATACACCCAATATGAGCAGCTATTTGCCCAGGTAAGTTTAGAATATATCTCCTGATGGATTCCTGATCCGTCACTTACCGCTGATTCTCGTTAGTGCCGTTTCTCTGTTGGAGATCCGTCATCTCCGCACCTCAAAATACGAAAAGGAAAAACTTGAATAATTTTCCCTACAATTTAGGCTTGACAAGTACTGCCTACTGATTTTATCTGGTTTTCCTTTTTCCAGCACGATATTACCGGAAGAGCATTACTCCGGATCACAGACTCTTCACTGCAAAGGATGGGAGTTACAGATAATCGCGATCGGGAGGCCATTTGGAGGGAGATCGTAAAACAGCGACTTAAGACGGATATCATGGAAATCCGCGATATGGAAAGGCTCAACATACACTAAAAATACAAAAAGTGTATTTTGTAGATCACTGTGTTGTAGTAGTAAAATCATATAATTTTAATGTGTTGAATATATCAAACCAGTACTTGAATTAGAGCCTATAATCACACTCGCTGTCATCCACTCTATTTTGAGTATGTACTTTACAATCAAATTTAAAACCAATACTTGTATCTCAATATTTTAAAACCAATTTAAGTTTAATAATCAACCTTGAATAAAAAATACAGAAAATATTTTAAAATGTGAGACTAGTTCAATGTTTATTATTGGGAAAGTCATTTTAGTTTTAACTAGAGTAAAGACCAGAATATCAATTTCTTGAGATCACTGAAAGATGCTTGGAATATCAATCACTTAACTCGACCAGTTCCATTTCGGTTCAGGCCTCCTTCTCCTGCTTAGGTGTGACCAACTGGACATCATTGTCCACCGGTTTGGTGCTAACACTAGCAACCAATCCGCCTCCAGGACCAGGAACCATCACACCGCTGGCGCAACTTGTAGTGGTTATGACCTTGGGCAATGAATTGGATGTCAGGATATGCGGCATGGTGACGGTGCCATTGCCCATTGGCAGGGCGGTAGTAAAAAGCAGTTTAGGTGGCTGCATACGTTGGGCAGTTGAACAAGGAGAGGCAGCAGCCGCTGGTTGCAAGAGGCTCGGCAACAAGTTGAGCAGGCGTTCGCCCATGGACTTTTCCCAATCCAGACGTTCGCGTTCCAGGGAGAGACGATTGTGCTGGATCTCGTTGGCCTCGTTTTGCGAGCTCAGCAGATGCCGCAGAAGGATTCTCATGGCTGTAAATGAAATTGGAGTATTGTTAGGACGACAACTTAAAGAACATTGTTTTTGGTACCCACTTGTCATGTGTCGCTTGGCCTGCAGATCATCCCTGGCCTTTTCCTGCACCCTGCGGCTCTCCTCCTTCTCCAGGTGGATGTGCTGATGTTGCTGCAGGTGCTGTTCCTGTTGAAGGCTCTGCTGCAGCTTCTGCTGTTGCTGTTGAACCGCCGCCTGAACTTGAGCCTGGGCAGTGGCCAGTGGTAGAGAGGCGGAGGACTTGCCCACAGCCGCCGCAGCTGCTGCCGCCTTGGCCTGCTCGGCATTAACCAACACAAACTTGACACCTCCGGGTGCGGTGGCCACCAGACCGGCGTTGCTAGGCTGTGCCGGTGCTGCAGCCGATCCGCTGATCATCAGACGAGCGCCCTGGTTGATGGCACTTTGCAGCAGCTGCAGCTGGGGAGCAGCTCCCTTGACGGCTGGCATTGGACTTGGTCCCGCGGCAGCCGGCAGCTTGGATTGCATTAAGAAGTTCGTGGGCACCAGCGAGATCTTGCCGCCCTGCAGTTTGTTCGCGTTGCTTGTGGAACTAGGAGTGGTGGTTGAGCTAATACTGGCCGTGGTGGTGGTTATACTGGCCGGGATAATAACGTTTGCTCCGGTGAAGGGAAGCAGATTGGCGGGCTTATTACGCTGCAGCATATCAACCAGTGTAGACGAAGAACTGGAACTGGAGGACTTCTCATTCGGCGAATCATCCGAGGCATCCACATCGATGGGTTCTTCCTTCGGCTGAGGCAGGAGCATGCAATCGTCATCCTCCTCGGGTTCGGTCACCACTGGTGGGTCCACCGGAGCAATTTCCACCTCCTGGGCAGGTTCGCTCTTTATGCAAGGTGAAGTCAGCGCTTCGCCTATGTCCACGTCTACCTCAGCGGACAATTTGCGACGCTTTACGAAGGATTCCTCGTTCAAGTCCATGTCGGATTCCAGGCAGCCAGCTTCCAGTTCCTTCCTGCCGGCTGGCTCCTTGTTTTTGGTTACCAGGGCGGAGAGCAGCATGTCATCCTCCTCGTTGTCGCTCTCAGAGAGCTCTTCTCCGTTTTCCAGCCGCCGCTTGCGACGTTCGGCGTGCTCCTCTAGCGCTTGCTCCAGTTGGTATTTGAGCGATGGAGCGGGAACTTCATTGGGCCGCACACTAAAGATGGGTCTGGTCATGATGGCATCCATCTCGGCAAAGTGCTTCCAACTGGGCTCCGAATCGGTGGACGTACCTCCGCACTCCTTGTCCTTCTTTAAGCGGTTATAGAAACACTTGAGATTCTTGATCCGCGTGGTAATCTCCTCCGGTGAACGGTGGTATCCATACTCCTGCATTTTGGCAGCCAGCTGACAGATCACGGCGTGCTTTTTGTGGGTGGTGATTAGGGTTCTTTGCAGTTTCGGATCGCCCCACAATTGAATGAGCAGTTTGGTCTCATCGGTGTCGAAATTAGGATTGCGCCCAACGAAACTGTGCTTCTTGGAGGAGTTCTGGCAGGGATTTTGGCCACCATTTCCTTGACTGCTTGAGCTACTTGACGGATTTGGTGTCGAGGGTGCGCTGCCATTCGCCGCCTGAACTGGAGCTGGTGCTGGTACTGGATACGAAGCTGATGCCGCCTCCGAGCGGCGTTTCTTGATCCTGGCACTGGTCTTCAGGCTCATGATGTACTGAATCTGAGTCCCGGGCAAGCGGTAGAAAATCAATATGGCTCCAAATATGAAAATTTGGAAAACCAAGTGCCGAGCCACTTGCCTCCGTCTGCAGGCGAAAGAAAAATGAGCCACGTAAACGGCGCAACCGCGGGCAACCGAAAATCCCGAAATCCACCCCTAAGCATCAGATATACCCCGCACCGCCCGGAAAAAAATCGGTGCTAAGCCAAGTGCATTTACCACCCAAATAAGGAGTAGCATGCGCGTTGGCTCAAACAGCTCTCTCGCTCTCTCTCGGCCTTAAATGACATGCGCCAAGGGGGAGTTATTGATTAGTAACCCCTTGTTTTTAGGGATTTTCACTGCCTAACCCAATAAGAAGCATTAGGGTAACGAACAACAATACATTTTGCTAATGGGTATCCTTTTATTTTTCCCTAAAATCCTGCTAGAGATGAGCAGAGGGCGATTTAAGGCGGCGAATTAGGATGTGGACACGAGATCTGCGCATCACACTTTGTGAGACATGCGCAATGAGAGCGAGCGAGAGAGCGTACATAACGGTGGCGGGGGTGAAAAGCACTCGCTGCAACGAAGCAGCAGGCTTTGCGGGGAAAATTTACGGGTCCATTACTTATGTTTTTCAAGGACTCAAGGATCTATTTCGTCAAAAAAAATATATTAAGCCTATTACCATCTTCTTTGCTAAGAGCATACTAAAAAAACATAAGATTCAAATCCGGTGAAAATTTTTATTATCGATATCATTTGACAAGTTTGTTCAATTGGAGCAAAAATACTATATTTTTGGTAGTGTGGTATTTTTCGATTTTCCTGGTCCGTTCTCACTCCTGTCAGCTGTTGCTAGAATTCGGTTTGCAACACAAAAATAAAAAATGGTTTTGTCTAAGGAGGAGCAAGACCTGATCAAGCGCAAGCATGAGCAGACTCTGAAGCTGCGTCAGGAGTTTCTGAAGCAGAGCTCCAATCCCTATCGCCATGCCACAGGCGAGGGCGGCACCGTGGTAAGTTGGAGCGCCAATCCTTGGCTTGGTTATGTCATCACGCTGGGATAAATGCTAGTAATTAATCTTGCCTTCTAGTTCGACGCGGGATTAGCCCGTTTCCAGGCGATGCGTGTCTCCAACTACGAGCACTTCAAGCCCACAGGCAAATCCTTCCGCACGGGCCTGTTCGCTGTAGTCCTGCCAATTGCCCTCTACGCCTGGGCTCTTAAGGCGGAACGCGATGGACGCGAGGAGAAGTACCGAACTGGCCAGGTGGCCTACAAGGATCGCCAGTTCAAATTTATTTAAGCCTTGCATTCAGCGATTGATCTTCGATTTGTAGTGGAATTAAAAGAAAACCGTAAAGAAGCTACTGTTAAGTAAACGTAATTTATTTCTCCTCCATTTGCTTGTCGCGGGCGATGACAAAGTCCTCAAACTTAACCATGTACGTTGTGCCCTTGTGCCAGTGGGCGGTGACCTTGCAAGGCTATAAAAGAAAGGTGTTACCGAGTTAAATATAGGGGCTACGAACAGAACTTACAAATCCGCAATTTGTCAGCACAGCCTCCACAATGCCAGCTGTGAAGTTAGCACAATTCAAGGAACCCTTATCTTTGGGCACACTTATAAAAGTATTAACCAGGGGTTCCTTTTCTATGATATAGTACGTCCTCTCATCATCGTTTGCATGTTCTAGTTTTTCCGCCTCTTTTCCAAATAGATTTTTCCACACGGTGGTCTTTACAAACAGCAGCATTTGCGTTAGTTTGGTTTCCCGTTTGGAACTCCTCTCCCTCACAAAGTATAGGTCGATAATCCTGGTGCCCACGTCTTGACCTAGGTCATGGAGCCTGAAATGATGTATCAGTTATTAAACAAAATTAGTTTATAGTGTAAAAACCCTACCTTGTTTGCAATTCTGGCACTGTAAACACTCGACTCTGTGAGTACTGCACGATTTCGCTGAACAACAGCGCCACAATGCTTTGGGAAACCTCCGTTTTGCCCTTGGAGAGCGGTCTATCCAGAATATTGCTGCGCGGACGCATCGAAGATATTTTCAGAGCCTCCAGTTTTTCCATTTTCGTGATAAGAATATATGATTGCTGTGAATGTTTTCCAAAACAAAGTAAATTGCCAGTGTGCCCGTTGCTTTAGGACCAGTCTACTAAAATACTATCAAGAAAAGTCGCAACTGGTCTCACTGCACTGAAAGAAAAAATTTGTGTTTGGCAATTTTGTAAACTGAAAAAAGACTTTTTATCGGACTACAAAAATATAAAGTGAAATGAAAACAAATAAAACCTATTTTTACAAAGCAAATTGAAATTGCAATAAAGGTGGAAAGCTTGAATAATTTATATAAGCAAAGACCCCAACCTTTTGTTTTGTAACGGTTGTTCTGTAGTTTTCTTTTCATTTTCAACAGGAAATGGATCTGTTAAGCGAGCTTTTCTCAATCTGCAACAATCGAACTTTTTGCTTGGATCTTTCATCTTCACTTTGGACCAGTGATCTGGTGAACTCTGTTGCAGTTCAGTCAAATATTCTTCGAAATGATGGAATCGTATTTCGCGGGTATTCGGGCAGCCAGTCCAGTGTAAGTATCCGCATAAGCTATCACGAATCCAGATTCGATGGGTAGTGGTCGGTTTCAAAGAAAGATTCTCCTTTTTGAAAGCACGGCCCTCCAAAACCGCCAGTTCCTCTTCATAAATTCGCGAGGTGATGCCCGAAATGGCTTCGTTGATCCGTCTATCCATTTCCGGTAAAGATAGTATATTTAACATAATCTTGTTATCTTCTTCCCGTCGCAAATAAATGAGATACCATAGAGGCATCTGTGGAAAGCAAACACTCGACATCAAACGCTCCGCATGTTCACCCCTCTGGCTCCAATTGTGACCCAACCACCGCACAGCCATAAACAGAATCTAAAAGGGGTAAGCAAATAAATAATATCAGATCAATCAAAAGTTCAGGCACTTCCGTACCTCAATCTCTGTATTTATACACACCGAACTAGAACTTATCAGATAAATTAAATGCGTGAGAGGGAGCTCCAGGAAATCCTTTGTAGCTACAAAAGTCAAAAGGAACTTTTGTATCCTGGTCAGCATCACATTTCGCACCACATCCAAAGCAGGATGATTTCGAGTTTCAACATACAGGACACAAGCCGATTCTTCATTGTAGTATTTAGCCTCATCGAAAAACTTCCAGCAATGCTCCAACACATTGTCGATCCTCAAATAGGTGGCTGCCACAAATATATCCAGAATATATCGGCGTTCCAAACTGGGTTTATCACTCAGCATCCATTTGTAGATGAGCATGAAGGCCTTTTGGGAGACAACATCCTTGGGAAGGGTTATCAGCAGGGGTTTTTGCTTTAACTCCTTGAAGAAACTGGAGTAAGCCTGGAGTACAATAAAATGACAGTTGAAGTACATTTTATTAATCTCTATTTTCACGGTGGTCATGAGGTGACCCTCGATAATGTAGCGAAGAACCGGGGTCATTTTACCCTTGAGCGGTTGCTTTAAATTCAACCAGCCATCAACATTCTCGAAATTATGACCAATTTCGAACAGAGAGCGATTCAAATTCCTCGCCTTTTTAAAGCTTTTCTTGGAAAATCTATTTATGACCCGATCCACTTCTAGATCCTCTGTTTTCGAAACAAATTGCGCTACCGAGTTCAGTTCGACCCCAGCGCCATTACCTTTTGGGTGACATTTTGGACTGGAATGTTTCTAGGGTAATCTTAGTATCTAGGATAACATTGAATAGTTTTAAAACCCACTTGGTAAACAGCACACTGCAGGTGAGTTCCTGTCCCGCATTCTCTAGATTTGTTGGTAACTTTTGCTTCATCAGCTCATCCATTTCGATAGTGTTTCCATATTTTGTATTATTCAAGGAAAGCCTGCTATAATACAAAATTGAAACACCAGCTTTTCACATTGTTTATTAAATTGTGTTTTATTGTTGGTATTCTTTTTGTTTTTTGTTCACATTTTCAAATACATTTATATGAATAAATATATCTTTATATTTCTATTTTCATTATCCATTTCTGTAATGACACATTTCATTTCAATTTAATATGAGTATATGCGGCTATTTTAACCATTTTGTTTATTTCGATGTAAAATAATAGAAGAAAAAAAGTTGCAGTAGGTGAATGTTATTTAAGCTAAAGTAATAATTCCGCATTTGAGCTAGTTTTATTGTGTTTTTGTGTGTGAGGACGATTTTAATAATAGTTAGCTATTTTCCGTTGAGTAAGCGTTTAAGTTAAATAATATAAAACGTAATTGTAAATTATAGATACATATTTAACATTTTGTACTTCTTGTTGTTGAGTGTTTTGTTTCCGTTTGATCGGTTCCCGGTTCATCCTTTCTTATTTTCTCAAAACTTTTCATTCCATCGATGACCGTTTGCATATCTTGGCTTGTATTTTCTGAGGTTTGTATCAATGTTTTTACTGAATTTTGCACATTTAATAACAATTGCCGTATTTAGTTAATTTTTACAATAATAATGTTGCTTTTTAATGTGTTTTTTTTGCACAACCTTTGCTTATTTTTAATAAATATGCATTTTGTTTTAGTTTTCGTGTGAAGTTTTCTTTCATGGTTTTTTTCTCACTGACTTAGTACAACAATAATTATATAGTAAGAAATAAATTAATGTTTTTGTTTTTTATTATTTATATATATATATATAGCTGCATATATGAGTTTGTTGATTTTTTGAAAACACTTAAATTGTTTTTGTTTTTTTTTACCCCTTTGCTCAATGCCTTTTCTTTGGGCTATTTTATAAATCGACCAAAGTGTTTAGCATTTTGTTAAAAATTACAAATTGCTTCGCATTCTAGAATTATTTAGTTGCAAAAGATTTCCAAACGCGCAGTGCTACGGTCTTTGTTCGTTCATTGACTCTCTAATTCTAGTTGGTTGTTCTTTCTGCGGTTAAACACAAGGTTTCAAAATCATATATTTCGAGTACTTGGCAAAAGGAATTTTTTGAATCTTCATGAGCCCTAAGAAGAGACAAAAACATCCTTTTTAAAAGGCAACTAAATGGCTTAATAGTGTTTAATTAAAGCTCGTTTAAGTAACAATTGCTGAGCATAGCGAACTCACAAAATTCGAGCATTGCCGCCGAATCTTTTGCTGGAGGAGTCGAATACAATTTGTAATTCTTTCTTCAGGTTCAGAGAAGAATTTATTGACAGTTGGAGTCGCCAACTGTGCCTTCTTCCTCCTAGTTGCATGTGTCCTTTTTCATATTATTCATTTGCGCATCAGGTTGCCGTTTGTTTGAACATTTCGTGTGAGTTTTGAGCGCGTGACATTGGTTAACAAATTGGAATCGCGCAGAGAAAATCGCATTTAAATATATTTAGTTCTCGTTTCGCCTTTGCCTTGGCCTTTTAATACTGTTCTCCAATTTCGAATTGTAAACAAGCAAGTGTAAATAGCAAAAAACCCTAAAGAACTAAAACTAAAACAATCATTGTATAATTGATTTTAAAAAAATTGTTTCAGTTACGAATAAAAACAAATAGCCTGTTTTTACAAAACTATAATTAAGCGAGAGCACTAAACATAAGTTACAATTTATAAAGTACATTAAAAATAGATACGTAATCCTTCCTGCTTTTGTATATACAATAAATTATGGCAATTCAAATGGAGTATACCGAAATGAAACTAAAAGCGAACTAAAGTACCATTCTCGCCAGCTGACTTGCCAGTTACAGAGATTTAAACATTTTCAACCGGCTCTTTCAAGCTGAGCTTTTCATTTTTACAATATATGTTTTACAACAGAAAGCATTGTATGGCCTGTTTTCAGAAATCTTAGAGACTTCTTTGGCTGCCAGGTGAGGAAATCAATGTAACTGATAAATCAGTTGGCCAGAATGGAGTCTTAAAGGTGTCACTCTAGAACAGCAAGCGTCCGTAGTCGTTTTGTGCCGCCTTCCTGCCGGTCGGCTGCATCAAATACGGCGGAATCTGCGGCTGCTGTGGGGCGCCCAGGCTGTGCGACAGCTCCCAGTTGTAGAAGTGTCGCTGCGATTGGGATTGCGATGGCTGCAACTGCTTTTTGTGAACGCCCCACGGACGCTTGGTGCTGCCCGTCGTCTGCTCGGTGTGGTGGTAGTGGAATTCGCTTCTGGGCCTGGGGTCATCATCGTGCTGTCCTTGCAAGCGGGCCTCCAAATGTCAGACATGCGGCTTGTGCTGCCCGCCGCAGAGTCCGCAGTGGATGCCCGCCAAATGGCAGGCGCGGAGCGGCGGATAGCACCACAGGCAGGGCACAAACAGCGAGAGGATCGCCAGGCCCAGCCAGCGTTTGCTGCACCCGGCCTCGCTGGCACTGCAATCGCACGGATGCTGGGCCGTCTCGCCCTCGGCGTCGCTCATGCAGTGGTAGATCATGCAGCGGGCACAGCCCATCCCGGAGATGCACTCGTAGCCGCTGCGGAAGGGATCGGGGGCATATTCGCAGGCGCCGCGTCGGTTCCCATCCTCGCTGTACAACTCGTGGCAGTAGCGGCAGCGCAGGCGCGTCTCCTTCTTCAGGATGTCCGAAACGTTTGGCTTGTGCAGCGCCTTCCCCGATCCCGAACCTCCACTGGCCACCGTTTGGGCCGCCGCCATCGCCTGCGCCGCCTCCAGAGCGTTGCGCTTCTTCAGCGCACTGATCGACTCCCGACGCGCGTTGAGCACCTGGGCGCCCACCGGCTGGTCCACCACCGGGTAGTTGTAGTCGTGGTGCACCGCCGTCAGCGTCACGTACGAGTAGTTCTCACTGGCCGCTATCTGACCGGCGGTCGCCGGCGATGGAGCTGCAGATGCGGGCGGAGCGTCCGGCGGCGATGTGGTGGCCGATGTTTTGTCCGTGGATATGTAGTGAATGGGCGGCGGGGGGCAGCTTCTCCGAGTCGGAATTGTTGCTGATGCTCTCTGTAAAATGGTGAAAGGATCTGATAAGAAATGTCCTCGAAAAGGGTAATCTAATCGATCACAAGTTGTCTTTCACGGCACATAAAGTTTTCTTATCAAATAAAATACGTACTGTGACTTTTCTCGCTGCCTTCAGGGCTTGAATGGATCTTTTGTAAACTCTCGCTTTCCACAGGTAAGTCCAGGGTCATGAATACATCATCTTCGCCAACCGAATCATATTTGGTTAGCGGCGGGCAAATTATTGTGGGATTCGATTTGGCCAGTCCTAAATAGGGCAAAGGAAATAGATTTTAGTGCACAGAAACATGGTTATGGATTCGAGCAAAGAACAAAGTTTTTATAAAAGCGCAAAGCAGAGAACAGTTTAAAGTTGTACAGATAAGAAGAGATAGAGTTTAGAGAGCAGAAAACATCTAGGTGTAAGCACGGAAATCGAAAAGAATTCGTTGAAAAGTAGTGACCTACAAGTGTGAACTAGACTATACTATTTCTGAGATATGTATGTGCTGGGAATTTTGAAGTGACTAAAGCACAATGCTCCTTCAAAGCAAACAGCACACATTTACTAATTAAGGGTAGGGCCTCATTAAACACTTACCAATTCGTTTGAAATTATAGATTAAAATGTTTGGTTGATTTGTTGTTTTTAGAAACAAATTTGCAATATTCCAATGTGATTTTGTGTGTGGTGATTTTTGATAATTGTTTTCATTGTTTTTCGTTTGATATTGTGGCAAAAGTAGAGCATAAGACATACAAAAAAGTCATATATTAGTAAACGAAAGCAATACTAAGGCAAAGGCTTGGAAAAATCGGAAGAAAGAGAGGCAAGTGGTATTTTCTTTTTTTTTTTTTTTTGCATGAATAGGAAAGCAGGAGTCAAAAGGCAACTAAAGCGGGCTGACAGAAAGCAGAGAGACGGGATGTGCAAGCCGGTCATGCAACTAGTAGGTAGATGGAGGAGGATCCTGGCAGGAGTTTACCATCGATCAGCTCGTTGTAGGCGCGCAGGACTCCCTTGTCAAAGGCCCTCGCATCGGCGGCCGTTTGAAATGTGAGTCCGTTGCGCTGTTTCCCTGCGCGCCAATGGTGAAATGTGGGCATTACTTTGTAATACTTCAGATCTCGATTGATCACACAGCTCAATATAACCTGTGAAAAGGAAAACATTATTACCATCTCATATTTGTGGGTTCTTTAGGGATTACTTACGCTCTGATCGGATATCCTTTGTCCGTAGATGATGTAGTCATGACCCGATGCCAATGGGGATAGCCTAGCCCGCTTCCGGATAGAAACGTTGGCCAGGCCACCCCCGGCCAGCGGAAGCCAGCCCTCGGTGCTCTCGTCTCTGGTCATTACCTGTGCGCGTACTGTTACTAAGAAGTCGCTGTGAAATAAAGAGAATGCAATAAAAATACGTTAGATGATAACTTTAATTTTTTGACAATTACAATATTCTTTTTAGACCTTATATATATTTTTATAAAAAAGGTTCTGCAAGAGATATCACATTTGTGTTAAAGTCTACCTGCTTCTACTGCGTTTGCTGCTGAGTTTTGTGTATGAAACCGTAGTCATGCTGAAGCTACCAATGGTTTTTTAACGAATGCCAGCCATTGAAGGATCAGGGCTGCCTCTATACCTTCGACAGGATTACCTACAAGTGCCGCTAATTTGGATAATTCAATTTTTTGACCAGTCAAGGAAGCCTTAGTAAGGATGCTAGTTGCCACCTGCCATCAGGAGCGACTGATTCACCCCAGCGAATGTGAAAAACCAATGACAACTAAAAATAGCTGAAAGTCCTTCGATGTAAAAATATAATCCTTGTGGCTTGAGATGAAAAAAAAATTGAAAATTTGTTGTTGAATTTTCTTTAAATATTATCATCATCAAATAAAGAGTGCCAAATTATATTCCAAAATAGGCTAACAGCTTCATTCTTAAAAAGAAACCGCAACTTCAGTTTCATGGTTTTCCTTTGCCTTATGAATGAGGACCATGAAATGGAGTTTTTGACGACCTGCGCACAAGAATCGCATAAATTGATTAAGCCTGAATAAAACCAGAGTTCCCGGGCAAATGTAGGGGAGTTACTCAATGAAAAAAGCTTCAATAAGGGAGTTGAAACTCCACTGTGCCAAGTAGGTGTGAGTTCATAGTGGGGGAGAGGGCTACGTGCATGTAAGTGCATCAGTGTGCGTGTCTTATATACACATGCTTGTCCTAGTTTCGCTGGATTTTACAGAATGAATATTTGTCGCTACGTCACCGGGCTTCTGAAACACAGGACATGTCAAGGACTGGTCTTTCTATGATTTTCATTCAGCTACGTCAGTCTAGTCAAGGATTTTCAAGGCACTGTGAATGAAATATGAAAGGAAGCCAACGGAACTATCCAGGGTCAGAGCATATAACGCATAACGGGTTTTCATTGAGAAAGAGAGGCGCTAACGGTTCACTCCATTTCGATTTAGAGTTGCCACTTTATTTGAAAGGCCAGGGTGTAGTCGAAATAAGAAATAAAAGGGGCTTTACGTACATAGATAATACTACCAACTCCAACAAATATGAAACATATATACTTTTATAAATATATGTGGAAAGCTAGAAGAGCCTGCCCCAAGCCGAAACTAAAAGTCTATCAATATTTGGAAGCTCTCACTTCCAGGGAAAGCGCATGCGTGGGAAAGAAACCGTTAGAGAGCGGAGCTCCAGTTATCTTTGTCTATCTGTGTATGTGAGTGCGTGTGCTGGAGCTGTCGCCTTTAAATGATCTGGGCTCGAAGTTAAAACCAACCAACTAACGAATTTTCCGTTTTCTAACCAACATTCATTGATGCCCAACTTATGAGTATACCTTTGGTAGTTGTTGGTGTTCCCAAAACATTGTTGCCAACTGAATAGCTTGGATACTCCCACACACAGACACACTCACACTAGAAAGCCCACCCACACACAGACAGAGGCTGCAGCAGAAAAAGATGAATGAACAACGGTCTGCGTGTGCGTATACGTAATGTGCTTGTGTTCGTGCACACCCACACGAAAATGTCGGAGAGGCGACACCACAATAAAAAAGTTCCAATACACAGAGCCCCTTTAAATAGGCGAATAGTTTTGATAGCCCCCACTGTCCAACACACACACTTTTGCACCCACGTATTTGGACACAACCACATTTACATCTGTCGCGTGGTCACGATGTCCCGCTTACCGTTACATTATTCACATGCCAATCAATTTACAATGCTAAATTGAAATCAAATGTTGTTTCCGCTGCAACAAGAAACTCAAACAGGGTGCTTCTTACAAAGAAATATAGAGGGCCATAATGAGCTTAAAAAGCATAGAGCTAGAAAATGTTAATTTCCCTGCTATATTACTTACGAATAAAATAAAGTATCAATCTCTAAAACCAGTAAGGTAAACCCAACTATTAGTCTTAAATTTGTAATCAATTATTGCCTACTTTTTGACAATATCGATGTTAATCCAAATGAAAAATACATTTTATTGTGAATTTTAAAATGATCTCCATTGTTTTAACCATTAGCAATAATACTAAGCACCCTCTATGCAAGTTTGTGTGGGGCGATTCGCATATCAATTCATTATGAGGACGGCATGAAGAGCAAGACATGAATGAAACTACAGGAACCTTGGGCGCTATGCTTTTTTGTTCTTGTTGCGCAGGCTTTTGCCTTACCCTCGATGTAAATACTGAAAGAAAACGAATCGCGGGGCGAAACAACAAACGGACAAACACAAAATGACATCATTTTCGAATAGAATTTAAAGAGCGCCAGTGGCGCGAGGCAATAATACGTGAGTAGTCGTAACAACGGCAATTATTGGACCCAGAGGCGAACGGAAAAAGAAACCACACATGGGGGCGTTCCATTTCATTCATTAAAAGTGTCGACAGACAATGTGGAGACTTCAATTCGCCCAGACAAATGACTCACGGTTTCCTTCATTCACTCAGTTGTCCATTGAGGAAAAAAGGCTGTCGACTCAATTAAAAAGTGTTCCGTAAATTGAAATATGTTTTGCAGCAATCAGCAATCAATTGAAGGCAATTAATGTGGTCACGCCAATTAATAGCCAACCAGCTGGCAAGCACAAAAGCTGACTTGAAGAGCCAGCAAACCTGTTACGTAGTTTGTCCTAAAACTAAATATAAATTATTTAAACTTTTTTTATGAGGTTTCAAGCAAGTATTAAGGTTTTGAGCTATAAAAAAACAAAGAATTTTTCATCCTGAAAGGTTTATTATAGCTTCTTAACTTGCATCTAAAAAGCAATGCAAATACGTATGTATGTACATATGTGTTGATATAGGGATCTACATTTAAATTAGAATATACAACTCACATCCAAGATACCTTTTTGGCACACATTTCTGCTATGAAAAGCTTTTTCATGAAGTTGTTGGCAGCTCAGATTCAAATTATGGTATGGCTCTTTCATGCTACTTTTCAAGTTAGCTTTCGATAATGTATTATCTTAATAAAAACTTAGTCAAAGTTATTTAGTTTTTAATAAGATAATGTTAAATAATAATTTTTAATAAGTAGGATACTTTGTTAAATTTGTTTAATGAGTTTTAAGACGTTATAATCGAGATACGGTTAAAATAGGTCTAATATTCGATTTCAAGTCTAAATATCTAACATGTAATTTTGACTGTTGTCTAAAAATAGGGGATAACTTACCTTTCATGTCCTTCTGTCATGGTTCGTTATCAGAAAGATTCTAATATAGCAGCGTATAGTGTCGGTGTTGTTGTTGTTGGTGGCGAAATACACCATGATTAAAGCATAAAGACATTCAGAGCTGCTGCTGCACAAACTTTTCCAACGAAAAAAAAGGTAATCTAACAACAACAACACCAGAAACTAGATGAGACTATAAGACAATCCTATCCCACGTTGTTGTAGTTGTTATCCGATTTGATATATCTCTGCGATCTCCAGTATACTATTTTTTTTGGCACAATTTCGGGGGGTATTTTTATAGACAGTTAGGGGGTTTTATTCATTCACTAAATGGGTTAGAGGTAAATAATTAATTTCGGGCTTTGCGTTTATAAATCGAGAATCACTTTTACTTTTCCAAATACACAAACACAGGGCCACTTATGTGGGCGTGTAGACAAACACAGTGGAAAACTTGGCACACACACGTACATACACGGATTTTTCCAAGCAACAAAAGATGTAACAGATGAAAATTGAGAGAAGGAGAGGCTCAAATTGGGAGTCTGTATCCGATTTAATCACTGATTTTGGATTTTACACTATCTTGTTTAATTAATTTAGCCTTTTCGGGCGATCCACTTGCAGCGAGCACGGTTTTTTTATTAACATAAAATTTGCAAAAGCGAAAATTCATTCATACATTTCCACCAAGGAAATCAATCTCTCTCGCTCTCTTCCTCTTTCACTCTCTCGCTCTTGGCAGCTTGCGCAGAAAGTTTTTTGGGCGATTTCTCCATGTGTGTATATGCTGCTCTGCTTGCTGTTGCTGGCTTTACATATTTCATACATACGCCTATACATACACGCGAAAATACTGCAATTATGCTACATATTTTCAGTGATTTTTCCAACCGATTTGTTTAATTGTTTACGGCAGCACGCTTACAGCCACTTCTTTTTGGTTAACCGTTTCTTGTATGTGTATTGAAACACTTTTTGGCAACTGAGAGAGAGAAAAAGAGAGTAGTGACTACACTCTTTTTCACTTTTCTTGCTTTTCAAATATGTAACTCTGCCTTATAATTAATTTATTTAATAACGCGCATCCACATACACACACACATTCACCAGGGCAGACGCAACAAAACGCAGAAATTTTCATTAATTTTTCACTGTTTATATTGCCATTTACTTATGCTACTCGCGCGCCGTCTTCGCGAAAATTTTGCGCTTTCCGAATGGGCGTTTTTAACAATTCGCAGATATTTTCACAATTATTTCTTAATTGCGCCGCGAGCGCACGACAGAGAGATGGCACAAAACTCGATGTTTATTCGATTTCGTAGTGTCGCTCGTTTTCCAGCTCTGGTCGCCCGGAGATGGGTGAAAAGCAGGTCAGCGCGTGGGAGTGTAACTCCGCTATGTCGTATACGTAATTTTTAAGCCTATTGAGGCAACACGCCACCTATAGCACTGTAAAGTGTGAGCGCCATCTATCATTGCCGAAATACCTATAGACAGGTGTTTGCTACATTTCTTAAGATATTGATTTTAGTTTTGGCGCCAATATCAAATATGTATATACATACATAGATGGTTGAAAGAGGGTAAACGTTTCTGCATTGTTTTTACTCTGAACTACAATGGCTGAATTTTGTTATAAAACCAGCTTATTTTGTTCATTTATTTATAAGTTGTTTTTTTTGGATCAAGCGATCTTACACAGTTTGTGTATTGCGATCACGTTTGTAAAACGTGAACTCAAATTTTGTTTGAAAACTTAGATTACGATTTCTTGTCTAAGTTAATTTTTAAAAACATGATACGATGCAGCTCGTCAATGCTGCAGGCAGGATCTTTGATTAGGTTTTTGGCCTGCGAGAGAACCGATGTAGACGGCGCTATACTGGCTGGAATGGACAGGATCTGGCAACTAGTCTTGAAGAGCAGCGGAAAGAGCTCCTGGTTCGAATGCCACCACTCGAGGACATTGAACCCGTCATTATAGGGCATCTGAATGGACTGGTACTCTCGGATTTCCTTGGCGATCTTGTCCTCCTGGCTATCTATGGCCACAAAGTCCGAAAAAAGATCGTCATCCGGCTCGAAGTCAGGCTCGCGGAACAGCTCGCCCTCGCCTAAAATCACAACATGTTCCATCTTTTCCGGTTGCTGCGGGGAGCAGTAGAGCTTCATGAACTTCTTGCAGCAGTCGATGGTCTCATCTCGCTTAACCTTACTAAATTGCAGCAGCCCGTTGGTAGGTGGAAACAGAAAGTGGGCCATCATGTGGTACTTGGTGATGCAGGGAATCACCATCCAGTCCAAGTTATCCATCAGTGCTCTCTTTAGATCCAACTCCGTTGCGCAGCTGGATTCTCCGGCGCAGAACTTTCTCAGGCGGTGGATGTGCGGTATCACCAGATGCAGGGTTGGAAGCGATCCACTTGCTAGTGTCTTGTAGCACTTTTCGAAATGCGTCAATAGTTTGTTAATGGCTACCAGCTCTGCGACTGAGCAGCTTTCAAGCTGTTCCTTTGCCTCACTTGTAATAATCCCCCAATTGACCTCCAGGGAGTTTAATATGTGGTGAATTTCAACCAGGCCAGTCGCCTTAGGCGTGGGCAACACACCCAGGATAACAAGCTCCTTGGCCATTTTCAAAATACTTCTTAATTCAATAACGTCGTAGAAGGCCTTCTCCACCACTCGGTCAAGTAGGGAATTGATGCAGAACAAGTTTTCTCTTCCCTCAAATAGGGTTTTTAAGCTGGTTCGCTTGTCATAAACAAAAATCGGATCGTCATCGAATAGATCACCATCGAATAGACCATGCAAATCCTTCAGCGTGGCATCGAGATACTTGGTTATGTAGGAATCTGCAATTTTAAATCACATTAACGGGTTGGAAATATTTATAATTAAATATTAATAAAAAAAATAATGACTAAGAAATCATATGATAGCTTAGTCCTCCCTTTACTTTACCTGTGGAATACTTGTTCCAGGGGACTTTGGTCACTCCCAGCAACTGAGTGCATTTGCGTCCTTCACGGACATAGTGCACTGTGCCTGACAGGAAGAAGCTTTCCGCATTGGAGTCCTTTTCCTCAGCAATAGTTACGCTGTAGCCGTTTGTTCGTGCACAGGACATTTCAAGGCGCGCCTGCTTCAGCTTCTCCTTGTACCAGGTTTCGATGTTCCAGGCGATGACTCCCGTCTCCGGAATTAGTTCATCCACGCATACGTTACGACCGCACTCGGAACCAATCTCTAGCAGAACGGAGACCAGTTTTCGCAGCCCTGAGTCCTTGGTAATGTTTAGAGGACGGCAGTTTTCCACACACCACTCCATTACGGCTTGGGCGACCTTGTCGGTGGCTTTTTCATCCGCATTGGGGCCTAAAGAACTCTTTGAATTGCCCGTATCCTGGATTCCATCGCCCAGCGGATCCTCCGTCTGTAGACTAAAGGCTTTAGTCCTGTAGCACTTGTGACTCATCATTTTCGATGTGCATCCATAGAATTTTAGCAGACTGTTGCAGGTCTTGCACATCACAATGTTCGGAATGGCGATGCCGTTTTGGTCCTCGATCCTTGCAAAAATATCCCAGACTTTGGCGCGACTGCGCTTTTTACTGAAACGCAGGAGTCCTGCCTGCATTTGAGCCTTAATATAATCCTGGCTGTATGAAGCGCTTTTTACTTTACCCATTTTAATAAATGGAATTAATTCTAAAGAGAACTTTAAATTATTCAGTTTGACAAGTTGAAAAGATAATCGATAACCTGTGGTTTACGTTCTTTCAAGTTGTCGGCATCCTTAGAATCACCCAAAATCTAAAATTCACGTCTAAAATTAGGAGAGTAACTTTAATGACATTTATAAATAAAATAAATTCGTAAAAACATAATTTATTACGACATTAAACAATATACTTGGAAAAAATAACAACAACCAACTTGCTCCACCTTACCTTGTTTTCAACATGCGTGCTTGCGTTTTCCAACACTGTTTTGTGCGTGACTGAAATTCGTGAGCTTGCTTGTATTTGTGAGGATTTTATAATTTGTGTTTGTTTTCGTTTTGCAAACCGACTTTTAGCAATTTAAAAGCAACTCCAGTATGCATGTGGAGAAAAAATCAGAACTGAGAAGCCTCCTAAAATCCGGCGACAAGCGGTGTAAATTGGTAGAGCCAAGGAACACGAAAAGCTGCGTCTGGAGGTTTTTCAATTTGGTGCAATGCGACGATCGAATAGAGCCGTATGCCTGCTGCAAAACCTGCGGAGATCTGCTGTCCTATAGCGGGAAAACTGGAACGGGGTCCTTGCTGCGCCACAGATGTCTCCACTCCAGCAGCAGCAGTAGTAACGGTAAGTTTGAGATCCGAAATCTCACGCACGGCCTTCTAAATCCATTGCCACGCGTGCTCCGTGCCGTAGAACACCGAGCACGGATCAGTGCCCGCTGCCATCGCGATAAATCCACGGGTCATCGGTGGGGGTTCCTCTCATTTAGGGCGGGAAAAAACTTAAATAATAGCTATACAGAGTCTGTATTACAGACGCCGAAAACCGACTACACAAATTAAAACTCTAGTGGTTCTGTATACCAAAATCCCCTCGGCCAGTGCTTGCAAAAAAACATATTACTCAAGTGTGCAAACTGCCAGTCTAATATGAGCAAAGCCAAAAAATTCATCATACAATGATTTAAATGAGTAAAATTCTATTTTTGTAGATTTTGGTTTTAAATAACATAAATCATTCCTCTTTTATTTTCTTGTTCACCTTTTTTTGTCTGGCCTTTGTTTTCACCCCTATGCGCACAAGCTTTGCAACACTGGCCCCCAGATCACTTAACAACACTACCGCCAGCCAACGCTAATATCGCAAAAAGTAATTTTGTGGAGAAAAAATTGTTTTTCACGTAGAAGAAACTTACAAAATAAAATATCAACATGCCCAAGGGACGCGTGAGCAATGTGTGGCAGCACTACGATATTAACGAGGAGTGCGAAAACTTTGCGATATGCCGCTACTGCGGCAACAATATATCGCGTGGTGGCATGGCCAGCAATTTGAAGGGCAACAATACTACTAATTTGTGGACGCATCTGCGGCACAAGCACAGTGACGAGGTTCTGGTTAGTCCGGTGCAGCAGCGCCCTCAAGCCCGGATGATCCCGATCATAAAGAAAGGTAATTTCCATGTAGTACTTATGGCGGGCTATCGACCCCTTGGGACGGCGGGAAACTATCGTGGACGTCCATCTCTGGGTGTTATTTGTTATTATTCGGCAGCTGTATCAATATGTATCGTAAGCCCCAGGCAATAAACCCATTCCCATCCCTTGCTTCCAGAGAAAACCGTAAGGATCACCAAGGCGAAGACGCTGAGGGAGCCACTGCGCGTCGCCAAGCCCAAGATCGATTCCAGCACTGCCAATTATCTTGGCGAAGCTGGTGCCCTGCCGCAAAAGTGGGAGGAATACGAGCAGAACGATGAGATCAGCGAGGATATCAAGGACATCATCTACAGCGAGGACCCCCTGTGCTACAGCCCTATACATGTGATGGAGGATGAGGGCTTGGAGCAGGGCGAGAAACAGGTCACAGTGCTGAGCCACACGGGTGCATCAGCCTCCGGCGGGAGCAGCAGACCTAGTGCGGCGATCCCGGTCGTCCAGGCCACCGTGTTGGCTTCCACTTCCAACAACAACTCGGCCAAGCAGCTGAAGAACAATCTGGAGACGTCCATCGATCGGCTGACCACCGTTAGCGAGCAGCTCGGTTATATCATCCAACAGAATCACGAAGAGCATACCAAGGACGATGACTACTACTTCGCTTTGAGCTTGGTGCCCGTCATGCGTCATTTGTCGCTCAATCGCAAGATGTACGTGCGCTCCAAGATCCAGGAGATACTGTTCAAGGAGAGCGAGGACTCGGCGCCAGCCAAGGATGAGTAGGCGGCAGCCTAGTAAACTTACCCAAGGGATTAAGAAAACGGAGAAAGGAACGGAAACAAAAGGGCATCTGCATGCCGCTGACTAGGTTTAATATCTATACATATGTATGTTATGTATCCATTTATTTTATGCTCTTTTACCAAGTGCAAATTATTCAATTTATTTCCACAATTAAATTACCTAGAACTCAAAAACGAAATAAAAATGTACGACATAGTAAGAACAAAGCGGTCCAGTGTGTATGCCGTTTATTTTAAATAAATTTTATTTAAATAACTTGTTAAGATTTACAAAACAGAGAGCGTTGCTAGATTATTATAAATTATTGTATTGTAATTTACAAATCGATTTTGCGGCTAAGTTCTGCTGTTTATGCGGTTCTTAAGGATATGCTCCACTATTTTATTGGCTGAGCTCCCCACTGGGGAAACTAACCATTTCTGTTCGTTAATTTGTAGATCTAGGAGTGCAAGCATACATTATCATACAATACGAATACAAATTACAGTAAAACTCCTACAAATCGATCAATAAACAATAAACTTATGCCTATATATATAGTATATGCACCCCCAGATTTATTTTGCATGCGTATGCTTAGCTTAGATTCTAGTCAACAAATCGGTAGTTTATCAAACACTCTGACTTGAATAGCGAAATGTATATCTTATGATGATTTGGTGTTGGTAGAGAGTGGCTCGCTCAAAATGAATTTCGAATTGTGGATATGATGGGCATTATACAATTATGTTCGAGTATGTGATGTGTCTGGGTTCGCGTGATGTGGATATTTAGGACTAAGTGCACGATATGTTTGCCAAAAGTTTGGTATAAATTTGTTGTGATATTACGCTTAGATATGGTGCAAATGTCACCGCAAATGTGGCTTGTATATCTATGTAGGTATATAACATTTTGATTTCGGTTGTCTCCATTGGTAGAGTCTATTCCCATTCTTTTGTTTTGTTTTTTTTTTTTTCAATATTAATACAAGAAAGTGTCGTATACAAGCATTGAGTTATGTCCAAAAGTTCGTTCAAATTTTATCTGTTTTGGTATATCTGGATTCGTATTTTTTGTTACTGATCATGGGTATATAAATTGGTATAATTTCCTCTATTCACAGTTCCGATTATTTGTTAATATTATTTATTTGGGGATAAATATTTACAAAATGTTTTTATTCAAGCTATTTTAGAATTCTATCTGCCAGATCTTGTGGGATCTTGAGCCCCTCGCATGATATGCGTTCCCTTTTCATATGTTTTATTCTTTACTTTGATATGGTATTCTATGCGTATTTGTATAAATCTATTACCGAGTCGTATTCAAAAATAAGTTAAAAACGGGATTCAATCAAAACATGTACAACTAGATCAATAGGTTTTTGAATTTTGGAACCATTTTCTTTTTGTTTATTGCACTTTCGAGCTTCTTGTGTTTGGCGTGGTGTCTGCTACTCCGGGAGTGAGGATTTGGGGCCTGCCAATAGCCTCATTTAGTAGTAATATTATTTGGTTGACGTCACTAGTTGGGTGCTATAGCCCTGTGTGTTGCAGGTGGGCAGGGCGAAGGGATTGAAACTTAGACTGCTGACCCCTGGAAACATATAGAAAGTGAAATTATTCGAATTAGTGGGTGTATATTTTTTAATTTAATTTACAAGGATAGGAAAGTTCCAGCTCTTAAGTTACCACAAATTTACCAAAATAATAAGCTTGATCTGGTTACATTTAGGGACTTTAATCATAGTGATAATGGAAATTATAAATACCGTTAATCGTGTGTTTTCTGTGGTGTTTGTTGATGGTGGAAGTGTGTTTAGAATGCTCAGATTTGCTTTTGCAGCCCCGTCGACACTGCCACCCACTCGCCATTTGTGGGCGTCCTTGTCGATTGATAGATGGTGTCTGGTCGTGTGTGACCTTTTTTGAGTGGGTGGTTAGGTGGTGGGTGGTGGCATTTAATTTCAACAAAATGTCGCTACGCTGCCCCCGAAAGTCCAGCTCATCCTGGTTCGTCCTCGTCCTCCGATCAGCTCCTCCGTCCGACTGGCTGGCTCTCGGACTCCGGGAGGCGACTCCGCTTAAACGGCCGCCGCCGTGGCTGCTGACACGGCCGGATTGTGCCACGGCTGGTGGGGATGTGGGTAGTGGTGGTGCGGGTGCGGGTGGGCCGTCGCCGCGTGGTGGTGCTGCACGAACGCCTGATGCCACGTCGACGACACGGCGGACACTGTTGGAATTAATGGCGAAAATGCACTTTGCTGAGCATACTTTGTTCACTTTGTTCGGGGATTTTTCTTTTTGAGGCGGTGGAATGGGGAAAATTCGGGTATTGGGAACGAGAGTCTTACAGTTTATGTGGGGGCGGTATTTATGTGAGAGTAATACAAACTGAAGCTAAAATTAACTCAAGATAACAGAAATAAAGGACTTCTAAGACAGAAATTTTGAGTGGATAAATATGTTTTGGTAATCAGAATATGTTGGTATCATGAGATCAACAGAAAGTTTCCTAGAGAAGCAAGTTCAGTCAATACTGAATACCGAGTTTTTATTTCATCTTCCTATACTTTTAATGATTGTTAAGTTTTTTAATTTTTCTGTAATATCCCATTTAGAAGTATGTACGTATATTATAAGTTTCCTTTAACTAGAGTTGGATCAAATTAGTTATAATTTTTAAATTTTAAAGAGGAAACCTTTTGGAAACAAATTTATTGAAACTAACAAATCAAGGTGACTGACTTCATGGTTCTTTCTTCACCTACAAGACATCTTGGGATTGGGGAACTTACTTGACGTTGAGTTGAAGACGCTGCCGGGTGACGAGGAGAGTGTTCCCATGTTGGGAGCAGGTGCATAGCCATTCGCCGTGGCTGCCACCGCTGCACTGGCCGCCGTGGCACCGTAGGATCCGCCCGAGCTGTGCGGCGTGGAGGCACTGCTGCAGTAGCCACCGCGCGGACTCACGCTGCTCGACTGGGCCCGCTGGTAGTCGTCCTCGGTCCACTGACCGGATCCATCCTGCACACTGACCGCCAGTTGGCCGGCATAGGAGTTAAAGCCCGTCGATCCGCCCGGTGATCTGCTGCAGCACGGGTTGGGTATTAGTCACCTGGTAATAGCACTTTATCATGGCAATTCCCTTACCTGGGCATGGAGTATAGTGCTTCAACCAAATCGGCAGCCCTTTTGAGGATGATCTCCTTTTGCAGCTTCTCCGGATCGCCGGGATGGCGGGGAATGAGCTTCTGCAGGCGCTGGAAACCGTAGTCGATTGTGGGTTCGTTGAGAGCTGCTTGAAGCGTCAATCAGAAGGTTAGACATGGAGTGGTTCAAGGAATTGGGGACGAACTGCCAACACTTACAGACATAGACGAAGCGGCCGGGCGATCCCTTGCAGAACTGTTTGCTCTTGTAGGACAGCGTCACCTCCACCACGCCGGGAATGTGTCTCGGTGGCGTTTGCACCCGGATCGCGTGCGAGGTGATCAGCTCGCTCCACACCAGCATTGTGCCGAAGACCACTTGCAGTCCGTCGAAGAAGTTGTCGCCCACAATGATCACGGTGGCGCCACCTGTTGTCCAGCCTTCGCTGGGCGAGATCGCCTTGATGCAGGGCGTGGCCACCGGCAGTGGAGGATATAGTCCTGCAAATACATTCCAAGGATTCAAGGATTAGTTCAGATTATGCAACGCTTTCCAGCACTTCAGATTTTGCCAATTGCTACGAAAAAAACGAAAAAATTTGGGAACTCTTGAGGGGTTTCGTTGGGGATTTATTGGATTTCTACGTAAAACGAAAAATTCGGAAGTCGGAATAATTGGAATTTTGCTACGGACCATCGTAGGTACTGTCGGGCGCTAGGGGGTGACCGGAAATGGACAGGGATGTGTTGCCTGTACCTTCCGTGGTGTCCAGTCGCTTGGCCCTCCGTCCGTGCTTCGAGTTGTTGTGCACGAACATGTTGTCGGAGATGGCCAAGAGTGGTCCGTCCACGGCCACCTGCGTGGATATTACCACCTATTATTTGTAGATGAAGAGATTCTCTTTTAATATCAATCGGAGGAGCAGTATTAGTGGTGCTAACTCACCTGAAATCGGCGCATGTCCCGCGGGTTGCCGGCATTCTTCAGACAGTTTTGATTGCACTTCAAGAAGAACTTAAGGAAGAATCTGTAAGGAAAAGAATAATTGGTTATAGTATACACATAATTATAATAAACAGAGAGAAAGCAGTTAAAGGTTGTAAAATCATATAAATATATAAAAAATTTAACTTAAACCTCTTTCAATCACACCCATAAAATGCTTGTATAAAATATATTAACAGATATTTCTTCAACTACCCTTTAAGAATAAAATGGTGTTGGCATCGCTTTTCCCATTGTGCAGGCAATTATCAATCAGTTGTGGATTTATGTCAGCTATAATTAAGAGTCTTTACGATGTTCTCGTACTCGAAGGCGACTTTACGAGCCGCTAATGATGGGTTGCGCCTTTTTGCTGCCACTTGTGCCCGTTTGCTCTCTTTTTGGGAGTTCCGAGTGCGGAGTCCGGAGTTTCTGGGCATATGTTTGGCCCGGGGCAGTAGTGAGTGCCCTTGCGATAAGTGGGGTGACAGCCGGCGAATGTCCTGCGGCCAGGATGCGAGCCAGTTAGCCCAATCAAATGGAAACTGACACCCGTGCGCGGTGCATTTAAATGCTGAAATACTTTTATGCCTCCGCCGGCGACATGATACTGCCCTATCAGAATCCACAGCCCCTTTTTTCGTATTTGCACAAATAATATTTTCCTTTCCGATCAGCGGGGGGCTGGAAAAGCGAGTGGCGGCAATTTTCATCATATTTTTTATGTTGTTTCTCACTCGACAAATTGGACAAATTAGCAGGGAGCTGGAGGGTTGATCTCCTGCCAGCGGGCGGCATCTGCATATGTCCTCGTTCGACGGGAGTGTCGCAAATTTGTTTATACTTCCGCCACTTTTTCGGCTTCACTCGCGCACTTTAAAGGGTTGGCGCGATTAGCTCTTGGATAAATATATTTTGCGGAACAGAACCCATAAATCATTGTTTGGGCGATAACAGACTGACATGCGAGATATGCTAAAAAGCAAAAATTTCAATTAGAACTGATAAAACCCAATGCCAAAGAACAAGTCCAACTTTAAATGAATCACAAAAGCATAAAGAAATACGATTTTTATTGAGCTTAAGTGCTTATCGAAAATGATTGAGAACTTCTTGTTCGAACTCGCAATGGAAAACCAGATGTGAGTGGATGAATGTTATCCATTACGTGAAAAAAAAGAACATCGGAGCGGGCTCATCATCATCATTAACACAAGCATTCGACGACTGCCCTCCCTCGAGAATCGAGAGCCGTGTATCTGTCAGATACACTATCGAATTACAGCGCGGCAGCGAACGTGGAAACTCACAGATGCAACTGCAGTTTGAAATTTGAATAAGTATCGAGTGGTTGAGCAGAGAGGATCCTTTAGGAGCATCAGTTCCACTTGCCCGCGATGACTTCATCCCCGGGACACCGGAGCCATCATCACTTGGCTGCGAGCCTGCATTTTTATGGGCAGCTAATTGACTTTCTCGGAAGCATCCTGCCCCTCGACTTGCTTGAATTACAATGTTTTCAAAATATCCTGACAGGACACATAAATTCACAGGCTCTCCCCCATTTGCATTTGCCTTGGGTTTTTGTCTTCAAGATGCTATTGCCATTGCCATTGCAGTTAAGAAATCTCGCTGAGATTACGAATCCTGACCAATTCAAGGATTTCTCCGCTAGAAAAGCAACCACCCACTTTGGTGCAATTAAAAATTCCAGTCGCGTCCTGTCAATAAATCAAAGTGTCTCCCATCTTGGCTTTCCTCTGCCCATTTTTCCAGGTTTTCAGGCAACAAAGTTTGCTCTTTTTTGGCCTCTCCTTTGTCCTTTTGTTTTGCCAGCAACGCGAAATTTTCATTTAATGAAAAGCTACGCATCATCAAATGTTCGCACATGACATCGGCACTCCTCCGGGGAAGAGGACTTTCGATGGGCTCCGAATCCATTGGCAGCTCGATCACGTAGCGCCAACGAAGTGCATAATTGGTCATTCATATTTGGGCGAGGGAGCGGAGGTCGCGACTTGGCGGTGTCCTTCGATTGGGCGGAGATTTCCTTTTTTTACGCCAAGCGGAAAATGCTTAAATTTTGGGGAAGAAAATGGCTGTCAATGTCGTCGAAAAGAAGAAACGAAATTTGTCCAGATGGTCTGAATAAAAAATGGGAGTTTCAAGAAAACCTGACAAGTAAGTTCTGTAAATCGGATTTGAAACATCTTTAGTCAGATAAAATGTTATTAATTTATTTCTGTACAAGTCTTTTGTAAGTTCTACAATACATTTTATTAATTTTCTATCTTTCTATCCTGTTCAAAACTCAACAATAATTCTTAACCCTTAAGTTACTCCTTATCGAGCGCATCTCGAGCACAGAAAATTGAAATAAATTCCCAGTATCTTTATTGAAAAGCGAAAGTTTTTCCTGTTTATGGTTTTTCCGAGGAGCCGGGCGATTAACTGTAAATTTGCGAAGCAGCAACAGTGCGAACAACAAATTGTGGCATTATCTTTGCATCGCCAAACAGCACACAAATTTAATGATGAATTTCAAAGGGACATAAATCGCTTTCCCAGACTCCTTTTTGCCACCCAAAAGGCCACCCAACCACCCAGCTTTTCCGCTGATATTATCTGGCGATGGCGTGAACAGGTTCCGAGGAGCCGAGAGCGTTTTTGGCGCACGCCAAACAGCCACGTTCTTCCCACCCACAAAAAAAGGAGCTCAGGTGAGGCGGCGGGTTGGGTGGCGGCAACTTGTCTCTAATTTTTCACTAACGATAATATTCAAAATTTTCAACTTTATTGTCGCATAAACCGAATGACTATGGGGCAATGACAACGAAAGCCAAGGAAGCCGAGTGGCAGGAGGCTCGGAAAATAATGCGAAAACTTACTTTCGCGCCATTTCTATGCCTTTTGGCATTTTCTCCACCGAAAATACAAAATACAAATACAAATACAACACAAGGACGAGGACAAAGACAAAGAGAGCGGAAGGCAGGAAAACATGGCCGTCGACAAGGATGAAGTCACCATTTTGGGCTTCTATTGTTGCTCGGGCTTTATTTATTTATGCTCTTTCTCGGCTTAACGCTCCACGCTTGGCAGCCCAAAGGTCCAAACAGCCCAAGGATTCCGACTGCCGACTGCGATTCCTTAGCCACCAACAACAACCCCTGCCACATTTCAAAGTTCGTGGGTGTTTTTTTTTTCTTCCTTATGCCAAATCTTCCTTTTGGGCTTCTTTTGTATTGTAATAGACTTTCGCGCGGGGGGTGGAAGCCACGTACTGCGTGCCGTCTGCAGGACATGTTTATCCTTTTTGGCCGGAAGAGAACTTGTTGAAAACACTTTCACTTTCTCTCGCGCGGCGAAAAGCGGAGAGCGAAAGTGAGTGGAAGATACTTTGAGTGCATCTTACGGATTCGAGTGAGCTTTTTACGAGTTCCCGAGTTCATTTTATTTGGCGTTTGTTGTGTTGTGTGTTTTTGTGTACATATAGCCAGATATATATATATGTGTGTGTGTGTGTATGTATTTTGGGGTTGCTCTGGGACCGAAAGTCATGCCGCTGGGACCGGGGAAATACCTTCCGAATGTTCCTGTTGTTTTTGGGGGGACGCTGCTTGTTGTTCTTGGGATTTCTTCAGCTCTAAACTGATTATTTTCGTACACACACGTACATCGAGGTTAGATATCAGACGACGATAAAAGTAGCTGGCATCAGACGCAGATAGAACGGCAACAAAAAGATACAAATGTATCTGAGACGACGACGTTAGTGCGTGTGTATGTGTGTGTGTTTGTGACCTTATCCCTTGCTCTCCACTGAACCATCAAATTATCGACCTCATCGAAATGCCCGAATTATGCCAACTATTTCCGCATGTGTGTGCCGGAGTGTGTTGACTGTCAGTTAACGCTTTTAATACCATTAATTATGCAACAGGGGTAAATGGCCGAGGAAATGGCTAACAGAATCGCACAGGCGAACGCCAACTAATAGATGAGTTCATCCCAAGATGATGAGCCGAGACAAAGACAACGAGGCTATAGTTCGGATCTGTGCATTTTAAATCCATATGCCGGTGTCATGAGTCCCATTTCAATTATGCACATGAGACGGGCTTCTGCCTAATTCATTGGGTTAACCTCAGGGAATGGAATGTGCCATTTAAAGGGTTAATTGAGTTATTAGTAGGCGGATGAGTAATTTAAAAACACATTGAAATTGTTTATTTCCCATGATATCTAGTTATTTGTTTTGCACGAAAGATCTTTCGATATTCTATCTTTTTAAACTTTGCTATCTACCTTTCGAATTTTTCTATTTATGATTTAATAAACTGCTTTTCCCAGGAGCAAACCTAAATTCAGCCTGCCAAAAATGCGAGTGCCAATTTAAAGTGGGGGAAAAGTGCAAAGCGCTGGAAATTTGCATTAATAATTCAATTTCAATAGACAGTCTACTACAAATATGCAAATGTGCCGAACGCCGAGTTCTTTGAAATGCAAAAATTTGCCACATCTCCGAATCCATTGATTTACGAGGTGCAAATCAAATGCAGTTCGCACACCTCAAATTCGAATTCAAACTCAAACTCAAACTCAATTGTTTCCACTTCAAAGATAATCGGCAGCCAATGAAAATTATAGATGAAATGGATGAGTCTCGCCTTTCCATGGTGGCTTTATTTTGTGTTTTTAGGGGAGAAGTGGCTGCGATAAAAAGGCAGAAATACGCGTTGCTTCTCATATCTTTATCGATAATTAACTGTTATGGTTTCCCACTCCACGGATGTCTGCCCGGAATGTCTGCCCAATATTTCATGGGCGGACTGTCGATTGCTGACCGCAAATGCCGTCAAAATCGTCTCTTTTTTCACATTTTCTGTTTGCCTCGCTTTGAATATTTGAGCAGGCCAACTGGCAGCCAGGACTTCTTGTTTCTCCCCGAATAACCACCTCCTCTACTCATGGCACAGAACACGACATCCAGACCCGTCCAGGTGGCTGGAATGCATTTAGAAAATTAAAAACTGTAGCCAGCAACTAGCAGCAGTTTTGTCATCATTTTTAGCGCGAGTGCGATTATCAAGGCATGCAATGAATGGCCCAAAACATTTGCTCACCTCACGCAGCACAGTCAAGGATACAAAAATAGATATCTTAGTGATATTTACTCCAGAACAATATTTTAACAAAGATTAAATGAATAAATAGAACAATGTTACGAAGGTTGTTGATTTATGGCGCCCACGAAGGGACTGAGATAATGCTGTTATTACAGTTTTTAATTATCTTTAAAAGATATTTCTTGAAATATAGAGCCACCCTTTTTCACCGTGTCTGTACAACTCTTCGCCCCGTGTTTTTGCATATTGGACACCACAAAATGTCAATTCTATTTGTTGCGGGCTGAAAAAGGGGGCGGGCTATTGGGAGGGTAGTTGGCACTTAGTTTATTTGGCGCTGCGGTGGACAAAACGCTGGCAAATATAGAAAATTGAAATAAAGCGAAGAAAACGCCAATGACGTAGATAAATGCAAGAGTGGCAAATTTTCGATTGTTCGCCTGAGAGCTTTTCCACCCACACTCAGTTTTTCTCCTTCTTTGCTGTGTTTTGTTCTCGTTTTTTTCGTTTTTTTTTTTTTGTTTTTGTTACAGCGCTTTGCGTTGTTTGAGTGGTGGTGTATACACTTTTTTGATTGCCCCACAATTTAGCCAAATTAAAAAGTCGAACGCGCTTCGCTTGTCACGCGATAACGATTTTAATGACCGCCGCCGATAACGATGCCAATTGCATGGCTGTCAGAATAATTCACGTCATTACGCATACGCCAGATGTGAATCAAAATGTGATATCCAACAAATGGAGCACGAGATGGAATAAGCGATGAAATAAACAAAATAAAAACCACTCAAGATCGGTGGAAATGTGTGACAAAAACGTGGAACATGTCGCAGAACCAACAACACGAATACCTCGCCAAACAACCAGGATAACAACAAGAACAACAACAACAGCAACAGCAACAGCAACAACAACAAGAACAACGACCACCGCCGAAGTGAGCTTTAAATTCACTTAATTATGGAACACACACGAAGTGGATGCCAACAAACTGGGAAAAGGCCAGAGACAAAATGCGTGGCAATCGATCCGCGGAGACAATGCGAGTGTCCACTGTCCGGTGTCCACTGTCCGGAGTCCTCGCAAATCATAAATAAAAAAGCGGGCCCACAGAAAGAGAGAGCGCGATTGCAACCGCAACTGAAGCTGCGACTAAGCCCTCATCACCTGCCCCAGGTAATTGCAAATCCCGCCGATCTATTCCACAGTGGTGCAGGTATAATAATTTTTAGATCCATTAAGAATCATAGTATTAAAGAAGGTTATTAAATTAATCAGAAAGTAAAGTAAAACTCTATGATTTGAATACTGCCACTAGTAAATGCTTATCAATTTCTACCAAAAAGTAATCACTGGGCTTATATGCTTTCGATTTAAAGTTCTTAATCTGGGAGGTTTCATTATATAAAATTTTATATTTTATAGTGTTTATTTACACTCTTTTGAAATTATTTATTTATTTTTTGTATTTTTTTTTATCCATTTCTAACACCCCTCGACCCACTGTGCGGCAGCTCATTGTGTGCACAATTTCGGCATCTCCAAAGCCTCCTCTTGTGGCCAACTGCAGATCGGTTGCATGAATAACAGAAATTCATCAATAAAACATGTGCAGATCGCCGGCGAATGTGGCTGTGGTGACCAGTGGCTGGTGACCAGTGGCTGGTGACCAGTGGCCAATGGATGGTGACTGAGTATTGTTGCAGCTCTCACGGCACACGTCCGAACGTCAGTTTGTGCCCCAAAGAGAGAGAGAGAGAGAGATGGAGGGAGAGAGAGAGAGGGATACTTGGTTGCTAGCTGGTTGCAGTGGGTCCAAACTGGTGTTGTTGTGCTGTTGCTGTTGTCATATCGTATCAGTTTTTGGCTTTCGTCTCGGCCACTTGGAAATGCAAGTCGGTGTCCCCTGGATCCCTGGATCTCCCCTCCCAATTTGGAATTTTCAATCAGTTCCAATTGTTGCGCGCCGCTGACAAAGTTTCCTTTTTGATGGAGGAGGGGAGTTTTGGAGGAAGGGGCATACATATGAGCTTGTTCGCCTGGCCTGAGTGGCAAAATGCGTTGGACCCCCGGGCAAGTTAGCGCTTTAGCTGGACACTCCCCCCTCGCTCCTTTGGGCCAGGCGAAATTTAGTTGCGAACAGATAGATTATCCCGGGCTCTTTGTCTTCCCGCCGGCGGCATGATCTACTGGCATATCAATGAGCTGGATGGGTTGGATGGGCTGGATGGGTTGGTGGTTGGATGCCACCGACTGATCCATGCCGCCTTTTAGCCTGATTGGAGATGGTAGCTATTGGCTGGTCGGGAGTGTTTTCAGCTGGTGATTGATATGCGCCCGAGTCGCAGCATTGGAATGCCATGCCGACAAAAGTTACAGCCCGACTGACAAATGCGACATGTGGACAGGGAGCTGGCGGGGATCGCAGCTGGGAGCGTGTCACGATGGCTCAATAGAAATCATAAAGCCTTTCAAAATGTAAAAGATATTCAGATATACCTATATAACCATTTTGAAATAATAAAATGATTGACTACCTTCTTGATATTTAGGAGGGAATTATGTGAAAAACACTTTCAACTATAATTAAATTTAGGAAACTGATTTTCAATACTGAATTATTTTAAATCCAAAGTTTCCTTCTATTACTTATTTAAGGTTCAATTGAAAATATTGTTTATACGATTTAAAGGGGAATATTTTCGTGAACTACCTACTCATAAATTCAATATCTTAGAACCTTCTCCTGTTCACGCTGTCATCTCTAGAGAGGATTAGCCAACTGAATGTGTGAGCTGCAGAGTGGAGAAGCCGGCTAACAAGGCAAATAAATAGAGGAGAAATGAATTAATAATCGTAAATATCGGGCGCAAAGTGTCGCACCCGGGCACGTGGGGCAGAAAAAGAGGTGCCACTTCGGGAGCTCGGGAGCGGGGATCCGAGATGCACTATCACCAGCTGGAGATCGGCGAAGTGTAACTGTTATTCCAACGGATGGCATTCTGGAGCAACAACACGCAGAGCAATTTTAACAAGATCATAAATGTGCAGCGGGCGATCTGTGATCTTTGCCGAGATCGAGATCGAGATCGTGTTTTTGTTTTTGTTTCAGCATCTACGATTCGAATCGAATCTTTTTGCTGCGGAGCTGTGTGGCAAGAACTGGCTTCGTTTTTTTGCTGCCACTTCGACCACTTCAGCCTCGATTTGCCCCGGCCATTTCCTAATTTGCAAGCCGAGGTGGGGGAGCCAGAAGAGGCAATCAATTAAATTTAATTATGACACCAATTATGGCCTGATTGTCAGTCGGGCTGCCTGCCAACCGCTCGCCAGACACTTTGGCTGCCCACTTTAATAATAGAATCATTAAGCGGAGAGGAGATCTCGGTTCGCGGAACCCACCTTTGTGGCCAGTCCTACAAATGGCAATTGCAGCTGGAATCGAATCCAATCGAATGCAACGAATGGAGTTGGAGTTGGAGTCCACATAGGCAAATACGTGGGGATACCCTTCGCAGGAGGTCTGCGATCTGGTTTACGGGGAATCACACAGAGCGCTGATTATCATCTGCATAAGGTGCGCCTCAATTTAATGGGGCCTGGGGACTACAAAATTGTTTAACAACTCAATGAGTTTGGCGGCGATGGCGGTTGGAGATGCCCAAGAAAGGTTTGGTTAAAATAAGTGAGCCAATGGGGGAAAATGCTCGTTTACACGCATTCTGATTAGAAAACTAAATAACTTAAATACTTCAAATTGTTTAAAATGTATTATAAAACAAATACAACAATCAACCTTGTATAAATTCAATCTTTAAGAAGGGTACAAAACTTTGTATATTTTTAAACCCCCTGAAAGTGCTTCACCGATTTCCTTAACCGCACGTTTCCCTCACAATTTGTTTTGCATTTTTGGTTGCTTTCTAATTTCCTGCACTGAAATAATATTTCCGAAGCCAATTAGGAAGGACACACTCCGTGTACAAGGAGGAGGAGGGGGCGTGGCAGCCGCAAGGATGTGCACACAATTAACATAATTCGACTGACACGCGACAGTCAACGGGGCGGATGGGGGATTCGTTGGCGGGAAAAGGAGCAAAGGGAGCGAAAGGAGCAACGAGGGCGTGTCGGATTGCCGCGAACTCGTCTCAATTTACAATTTATGAAAATAGAATTTGCCACTGCCATTTTGATGAATTTTTGTTTGTCTCTCGGCGGACTTTCTGCCTCCCAGTTGCAGCTTCTGTTTCATTTGAGCTCCTTCCATCGCATAAAGGATCCCCTGCCCCAAGTTGGAGCTCTTTGCATGTCTGCCGCATCGTGTTTTATATTGCAGTTGATAATAATGCCAATAAATCAACGATACGCATACACAAGCCGCAGAACAGGCTGACAAAATAAAAAGCCAGCGACGATGATGAAAAGCAGCTTAAAATGTCATCTTTTGTGTGGCGGAGCAACAGGACGAGGTCCTTTACAGGGACATGGATACGCATGTATGTATGTATGTAGTGGTGGCAGTGGAGAGGAGAATGAACTATGACTACTTACCGATCAATAATGACGGGGTCCGATGGCGTCTCGTTGCGGTTACCACAGCTCTTCTTATCACAACAGCGGCTGAAAAAAGAGAGAGCAATTAGTTTGTTTGACTAATAAAATACATGATTGTAGTTTGAGTAAGCTTAAAAACTAAAAAAAATATGGTAAATTAAGAGATTTTTTCCGGTGAGGATTATTGCAAGGTTCGGGATCGTATACTTGATATGGTTAGCAGAAAGGGAACTATTCCTAAGCTAACCCACACATAAAAAAAAACCTTTAAAATAATTATGTATATTTAAATTGATAAGTGATATCACATATTGTATACATGTTAATGAAATCTTGAACAAATACCATATTTAACTAACTAACTATAATATAACTCTTCTATTACTTTGAATAACTAAAGGTTAAATGCCTAATTCCCTTGACTGTATTAAATCTAACCTTTGGGTTACTTTAAACTCTTATCTCCGCCGTTGAAAGTATGTTAAAAGTGTGTCTATTTTTTGGGGGTCAGACATTTGTCATTGCTCTGCACTTATCCCTTATCTGCATCTATATACGCACTCATATATCTATATCGAGTTCAATGGCTGCGTAATTTCTCCACTGCACAGCCTTTGGGCTAGATGAAAGCCAACAAAAAAAACCAAAGAAGAATAAAAGGGGGCAGGGTTGTGGGTGCTGGGTGGATGAGGGTCATCTGGGGGTGGTATTTTTGGGCTTGGACCCGGCTTTTGGCTTTTGGGTCTTCGCTGGGCATATATAACATAAACATGGATGACTGAAATGGGCGCAAAGCCAAAACGATAAAGAAGACGTCGTCGTTCTGCCCCTCTCCCTCTCTCTCCATCTCTCTCTCACTCTTTCTCCCCCTCTCTTTCTAATGGGGGAGTCTGCAACCCCCGTGTTGGTGTGCGAGTGTGTGTGGGTGTGTGTCTGTGTGTGTGCGTTGTCCCCTTGTTTTTGATAATGCTACGCAAACATAAAAACTGGGTGCCAATCCGAAATAATAAAAGATGGCCGGCCAGCAACAACAACAGCAAGGATTCAAACCAGGGGTGGAGGCTAGAAGGGGATGGCAAAGGGGGGTGACAGGGGGTTTTTCGCCGGCTAAAGCTGTGTAATTTTTTTCGGTTGTTTGGCTTTCTTTTAGCTTCTTTTTTTCGTATGCCGTTTTTATTTTCTACGCAACCTTCAACTGTCAGAAAGCTGCTAGAAGGGTGAACAGCAGCCCATGGGGCAATGGTTGGTAGTGGGTGGCATTGGGCGGTGGTGGGTGCTTTTCGAGGGTACTTGTGGGTGGCGATGAGGCGGCGCGGTAGTCAACCATTTATACGTTTCAGCTCGCGTGCGTTTGAGCGTGAAAATAAAACGAAGGACACTCTCCGCTCTGCCGGACGGAGCTTAAAAATCAACAAAATTAAAGCAGTCCACGGAGCTTGGGGAAAAGTGTAAGAAAGCCGTAAGAAAACCGTAAGAAATTCGAGGGAAAATCACGGAAAAAACAGACAAAACAAATGAGAACTCAGGTCTCTATAATTTGAGTGGCTGTGTTGCCAACGAAAAAAAGGCAAGTTTAATAAGCTCCAGGGAGTTGGTTTCCGAATGCCCGCGAGACTTGAGATTTCTTTTCGCAAATCAGTAACAAAAAGGTGTGGATTGCATTGGCAAAAGGATAATGAAATGGGGATATAGTAGTGATAAGCACTTACCTGCACATCACCTCGTGCGTTAAAAGCACGCGACACATCTCGGGATTCTTGTCCTGACCCTCATAGATGATGGCCTGGAATTGGAAATAGTTATGGGATTATTAAAATATTTAAATTTTTAATTTAATTAGAATAAAAGAGTTATAATTTATAATATGTTTCAATGAAATATTTCAATAAATATCCATCAATCTAATGTAACTAAATAATATTATTTTCTATTTAAGAATTCATTTTTGCCATTGACTGTACATTTATATAATCTCACAGGTAAAGTTCCTATTTTTTTGCCAAAACCTATAATCTTATTGATTAACCTACCTGCCATTACCACCTGAGTAAACCGCTCGTGACCCCGTTATTAACCCTCGGCTATCGACACCCGAAATGAACCCCACCCCCTGCCCATTTGACCCCCTATCAACTATCGTTTTGGCCTAAGACAAACACACATAAATGCTAATTACAGAGCACCGAAAACTCTGGCCGGCAAATCGACATATGGGACACAATGCAAATATTGACAATGTCCACAATTTTTACCTCTGCATGAATATTATTCGAGCGGTTCGGACTTCCAAGGGGCGTTTTGTGCGGAGTCTAGTATTTGTGTTTGCCCAGTGAAAACGCCACTCGAGCTGTGTGTTTGTTTGCCTTTTCCTCCTCCTGTGCGGTGGAAGTGAAGTGAGGCGTGTTTTCGAGGGGGTGGTGGTGCTGTTCGAGCCGAAGAATCGTGCCATGTGGAAGAAACAGAAACCGCAAGTGCAGCGCTAGGCAATCTGCTGCAATTTCCGGCAAGCCTCTCGAACTCCCAACAAAATAGATAAACAACAAAGGGACGAAATGGCAGACAAAAAGGCGCATAGTTCTCTAATTTAAAAATGATTAAAGCGGGTGTCCTGTCACCCCTCCCTCTCCCCTTTATCCTTTTCTCCCTGCAACCAACCGTAATCCAACACTCATCCGGCGAATTAGTTGGCAAAAACACGGCATATGCGAGGGGTGAAGCACCAAGGACCAAGGCCGCAGGACGCAGGACCCGTTTTCGCCGGAGGGTGAGAGGATCATTCATCAACTGACGGGAGATACACGCAAAAGTAATAACAATAACCGAGTGAGGAAGCCAACAAACCTGAGCCGTGAGTTCATCCACCAAAAAGTAAAAACAAAAAAGAAGAGGACAGATAAGCAATTGGAATCCCGCCACTTGCCGTCAAGGACGAGTGCTTCCTCGTGACGTCAGCGGCATATGTGCATTTGTATCCTCGCTCCTGCCGGCGAAACTGTATCCTCGAATGATGAGTCGGAAGCCCAGAAACCCAGAATCCCAGAAGCTGTGCCCAACCAGATAGATAATCAGAAATTAATTTTAATGCAACCAGCGGCAGTCCTCCAGAATCCTACCCCCTGAATATATACATATATCTGCGGAACCCCGCTGCTTTTGGCATTAGCTGGGCACATGTAAAATATGATCATCCCTTATTATCCCGTTTGTCAGGTTAATAATTCCCCCGACTCCCGGCGAAACCTGTAAAGGATCAGACAGCTCTCGATGGCCCGGCTCAATGTCCAATATGTGTGTGGGATAGCCGAAGCATTACGGCCCGAACTTTTTCCGGACGGAGTGCAGCTAATTATAGGAAGGACATGGACGAAATGTCCTTTTTATCCCGGTCTGGGGTAATGGATTTTCAATGTTTTTCCGGAGTAGGACATAAAGTTTGCTTGGATTTGTTATGCGTTGTAATTGTCACCTGTTTATTTTGCAATTTGATGGGGGGAAAACCTAGTTTGGTATAAAAGTGGTCAAGGGAAAGGTATAAAAACCAAAATACATTCGTTATAGTTTTATTCCAAGATCCTAGTAATCAACTGCGTTAAAGGTTCTAACTAAATATAGTCCAACGTAACAAAAACTAAGTTCTCCAAGCCGAAAAAAACAAACTTGCCCAAAGAGGACAAACACAGGAATCATCATCCATCATCCTTGCGGTGGGATGCAGAAACAAACAATTAGTTTGTATCTCGTGTTTTTGTGGCCGAAAGTCAGCAGTTGGGAGTTTGGAAATCCGAGGCTAAATGGCTCATCTAATAAAAAACGGCAAACTAAACGGAAGCCACTAAAACTGGAGTAAAAGCGTTTAAACTACGATTTATCAACAGGACAAAGAACAGGAGTCACGAGCGGAGGACAACAAAACAGCAAGAAAAAATGTGCAAAAAAGCGAGTGATGAAGTGATGACAGGACAGGCAGGAAAAGGACTCCAAAAGGGGCGGGGCAAAGGGGGGGTGCAAACAGGATGAACCCTGGCGGCCTTTAAATTTTAAACGATTTTCCATCAAACTCCGGCGAAGAGGCGATTTTTTTGCAGCATTTTTGCAAATTGTTATTATAGCTTTTCGAATAAAATGAATCGACGTTCGCTGCATTATTCACGCACTTGAATGCTGCACGTTGCATGTTGCATACTGCATATTTAACGTGCCAAATAAAAATCTCGCCAAACAAGATAAATTATCGCGGACAAAAGAGCGACTGCAAAAAAATGTTTGTGAAAGGGCAACAATAAAACAAAAATAACCGAATAAAAAACGTATAGAGGGTTGCTCTTAATTTATTAAAGCTTCATTTATCAGGGCAACGCATAAATTGCCCACGAAGAAGAAAGGACATCGAAATAAAGGTTACCGTTGCAAGGACTCGTGCATCCTCTGTTCATTTTTCGTGTGTTTGCGCATTTTCCGAGGGAAAAGGAGAGGTGAACCCTTTTTGGCGGTCCCTTCTTTGGTATTTGCATATTTTTAGGGGCACAGGATAACAATGTAATGCCAACTTCTTGAAATATTACGTAAGTAAACGTATTGAATAATGCATTTTCTAAAGTGTGTCCCTATGTCAATTGTTTTTTTTTCTAGTTGTTGAAATGTTATGAAATATTTTATAATTACAAATAGTGATATATTAATTGATAGAGCTATTTTTACAAGAAAACAATTCACATTTTTATTAATTTACATATTTGCAATCTTTTTCATCCTGAAACACTACCTATATTTATTAAAATTTAAGATGGTTTTCACCCATATATAATATGTACCATATATACACTGCATCTTGCACACCTTTATAAAACCGAAGGTGTCCCAAGGGACAGGCAAGAATTTCCGGGAGGTTTCCGCATGCATTACACATTTCGCATAATGAGGGCGATATCATTTTTTCCGCCTGCTTTCTCTCTCTTTTCGCCCCACTCTACCCATCTCTTTCGACCGCAGAAATGCACTTGCCGTGAAAGCATTTTTAATCGCATTGCGTGCGAAAGGGATGGCTAGCGTGGGGCTCCACAAAAGGGGGAGGGTGCAAGCGGGACGGACAGACAGCGCACATGCAAATGTGGAGATTTCGCGCAATCTGTTGAATTTATTGAGCGGCCAGAGGCGCCAACGAAAACAACAACAATAACAATTTGCCATTAAGCGCGCGCGTACAATTTGTTAATAATCGAAAATGATTCTCTCTCTCGGCTTTTTAAGTGTTGACATACAAATTAATTTTATCGCTTAATTAACACGCGCAGACAAGAGTGTGTGTGTGTGTGTGCCAATAAAGTGTTTAATAACGCTTCTTTCATTTTTTGTTAAGCTTTAGCGGTTGGGTAACGGGTAACCGGTTGGCGGATCCTTGTCATTAGTTCGTCTGGATTTTCGGTCCCTTTTCCACCACTATATATCTCAGTTATCTCAGTGCATTAATCGCCCGTTATTTCCCCTTCACCTCTAATACCGAACGTATCTCCATCTCTTTTTGGTTTAGAATTTCGATGCGCTTTTGTGCGTGTATTTGTGCGTTTTAATCGCGATAAGCGCAATTTTGGCAAAACACAAAAACCGGTGGGGGGAAAAAGGATTTTTCCCTATTGTTTTATGCCGGACCCGTAGAAGCCGATGATGAAAATGAAATATGATCGCCGAAATGAGGCGATTTTCCGTGGTTCCATCGTTAGCTCAAATTGCAGTTGCGACGCCTCCCGTTCGAACTGTTTTCGCCGTTATCTGATCGAATGTAATTATGATTATGACCATGATTTGCTGCATTCGCTGTTAGCTGCCAAAGGGGTTCGATAAGGGTTGTCCGCCGTTTTCGTGCCGGCCACGTGGATGCCAGTTGACAATCGTCCTGCCATCGTCCTTTCACGTCCATTTACGATTGCTTTCGCTCGAGTTGTTTGGCTTAGACAATTCAAACTTAATCGCATTCGGCCTGCCACAGTTTCCAGTCTCAAGTTACAACACCAGCCACCCACCCCCTTCCACCCACTTAGATAACACTCGCTTATCCCCGCCTTACCTGTTACGCAATCCGATAACAAAGGCGACACGCGACAAGCGAAATGTAAAATTCAAAAACAGCCAGCCAAAAACAAAAAGGGAAAACAGAGAGAGGAAGCCAAAACCCACCTAATCCGATCAAATGATTGTTCTTTCCCAGCTTGCGACACTTTCCAACCGGCAAAAAATACGTATCGCTGTGAGATTTTCTCAGGTTAGGGGTAGGTCCATCAAAAGTACATCGCAAGTCAAGCGGAAAGGGGCATTTGAGGGGTTTCAGAGGAGTGATGTTGCAAGGGGGAACTAACTATCCAGGATAAACCAATTTTTTTAATAAATTTAGTGTTTTTTTTAACAATTTGCATTTCTTCTAATAGCAATGTTATCAAGTAGAAAAAATGTATAGAAAATTAATCTTAAAAAGTGCTTTATGCTTAAGGCAATCAATGGTTCATTTGGGAACGTATTTTAAAGACTGTATGCTGTATTATCAAACCTATTTTTTAATCTCTAAACAATTCACATATTATTAACCCCATTACGCATACGAAAAATACAGAACAAATATAAATAGTTCCATAATCAAAAAGCCATCTGGGAAACTCCCCACTCATTCCGCCCGGAAATCGTAATTTTCCCTCAAAGACCCATTAAATATTAACTAATTACTCCTTCAAGTATTAAAAACTCTCTATGGCGTATTTAATTTTTTGATAAGCTTTAATTGCTGTGAACTTCCCATAAATAAACGTCTTTCGCCATTTCTTATCAATGGATCCCGAAATAATACAACACAAGAAAAAATTCTGGGAGCCAAGTTCGTTATCTCTATGTTCGGTGTGTTATTTTTGGCAAATTCAATTGGTGGCTGGTCAAATGTTTTAGCGATTAAATTGCATTCGCACAAATGGATTTCTCACCATAAAGAAAGGGGCGATTCGCGCTGCTGTCGATAATTTGTGGACAAATTTATTGCGCGCTCGTTTCTGATGCGAACGGGCTAAATGGGCAAGAAACGCCCACAAAACGTGGAGAAATCGCCGGGAAGCGAAGAGGGGGTTAATGGGGAAGACAAAAGGGGGAGGGGGAGGCCGGACTAACGTCTATAAAAATTTGTCACTCGAGAAATTAATTGCCCTTGAAAGGGAAAAAGGAAAGGCGGCCGGCAAAAGCGAACATATGGTGCACCGAAAGGACGAAGGACCAAGGACTTGCACGCACCCACAACAAAGCGCATTAACAATGTTCGATCCCCGTGCGATTCTCTCGATTTTCTCGATTTTCCCCCGATTCTCTCGTTAGCCCCGGTCACACCCCTTTTTAGCAGGCGGAAAAGTCCTGCGAACGAATTGCCAGCTTGACGGCTCAATTTATTGGCCAAAGGACACACCAGGACACACTTAATTAGCCGTGACAATCAATTTCGAATGCAACTTATGCTCGAATCAGCAAAACAAACATCGTCTCCTCGAAAAATGCACGAGGGCAGCCAAGTGGAAGGAATTAGTTTTTCATAGCCTGGTTAACTTCGACTTTGGCCCTCTCATTTGCAGGGGAAACGGATGGAAATCCGGAAGTTGTTCATTTACTTAAGTGGCAATCGCCAGATGAATTGCAAATTTTTAAGTGGTTCTGATGGATACTTTAAGTTGTTACTTCCTTATAAAGATTACTTGAATTGTTTGTTGGGAAAATCATTCAACTCATTCAATCAATTGATTAAAAAGATACTAGCTGTTATATATTAAAAATAGTTATAAAAGTTATTAAAGCTATTAAACTATAAGATTATTATGTTTTCATACATGACTTGAGTTCAGTTTTCAATAGGCTTTAACTACAATTAGGTTTAGGAGTTTAATATAATGTATTCTTAAACTCCTTTTAATTCTGTAACTATTTTTGAACTCACCTGCTTGGTCACCGAATCGATGAGGCGAACAAAGATGTCCTGCTCCTGGCGAGCTCCTAAAAGCGCAAAGTAAATCCGATAATAAAAACAGGTAACCACCATGAATGGTCATTCCCCACTCACCATTTGCATAGAGCAGCTGCAGCCTGTACTGGATGCCATTGTTGGTCTTGGTGGCATCCGACTCCGAGTCCTTCTCGATGAACCCGATGAAGGCCGTGCGCTCGATCTCGATGGGCTGGCCAGCGCGGTCATATAAGGCGATCACGAAGTGGAAGAAGTTCGACTTGCGCAAATTGCTCGGCGGCTGCTTCTCAAAGTGGGCGCGGCCAATGCCCAGGCTGCAATGGAAAAGTAGAGTAAACGGGGGGGAAATTAGTGGAATATATTACGTGGGAAAGGCGATTGCAGGGGGAGCACGGTAATTATGCCATTAGCAACGTAAACATAGAGCGGGCCTAAAGAGCCTCTAATTGGCAGCGAGAGTCTGGCTTGGTGTTTTGGTTCTCTGGCCGGAATTAGGGACAACTCAATTACGTCGGATAGAAAGTGACATTCTGGCGGCAGATCTGATGGTTCTGATGGAACAGGACGAATGGAGTGACAACTATCATTAAAAGCGCATAAGCAACTCCAACGTGACACAATAATCCTGATGTATGACAGTCCTGTCCGCCCCTTTCTACACTCGAAATATTTCCTATGCGTTTGTCCAATGTGGGCCAAGCAGACACTGGCCAATTATCGCAGGACACGTGGACAAGGATAGTGAGTCGCAGACGAAAGGAAAAAGGCTTGTCCTTGCACCACCCCCTCCCCCTTCCTCTTCTTCGTGTCCTGCAGTTCATATGCTAAATGTCAGGAGTCCCCTGTCCTTTTGACTCTCCTCCTGTCAGCGAACAATTACCGGACAATGTCCAGCGAGAAGGACGAAGGTAAGGTCCTGTTCCTTCATCCCCCCCATTCATTCATTCATTCTTCAGCTGTATGCATAACGAACAATTTAATTTAGAAAATGCTGATTTTATCAGATTTTTTGTATTTGCGTTATTTCCTGCACTATTTATGTGTGCTGCGAGTCCTGTTTGCACAGGCAATGTCAAGGAGCCGCAATGTCCTGGCCGCATGTCCTGGCCAACTGACTCGGGGGTCCTGCAATTATATACACATTTGCCAAAGGATAATGTCGGGCTTGGCGTTGTGCCCTCGGCCAGCCATCAGCTAATGATAGAGCGACCCACTCCAATCGAAAGTGCAATCGAATTGCGTCCTAGTTATTAAATAAGTACTTGGATGCCCAAAGGATTTGATATACAATTTTATCGGTAGGTGTTTGGATTCGTTCTTGTACTTTTCAATAGCTTTGATTGCCTTTCAAGAGCTGATGAATGATACCTGTTGGGAATTAGTTGTTGTTTTTCTTTAAAAAAAAAAGTGGAAGAAATGGTTATCTCTTATGGATATTAAATAGCTTGAACAAAGTTTAGTTTTTAAAGCTCAATTTGAAGGATTATTTTCTCTAAAAGTACCTTATTCTTAAATGCCTCATTTAAATGACGAGAATGTACATAAGAACTGAGTACTTTGAATAATACAAATAATAATGTTCTTTGAAGGAAGCTCTTTAAGCGACTTGAAGTGAATTTAAGCAAACACACTTTGCAGTGCTAAAGCTGATTCACCCACAAGCTGATATCAAATTAAGAGGACCTCCAGTTTTTTTTTGGGGGGAAAAGAGCGGGGCTCCAATGCGATTTCCACCTTTGAGGACGGAATGTGGAGTGATGGAGAGATGTGGTGCTGGCGCTGGTGGGGCTACTGGTGGAGATGGTGGTGGTGGCAGTACGACATATAAATGCCAGACATGTTACATTCTGGTGAAAGGTTATTGTTATGGCCGTGGAGTGGAGGCGAGTCGAGTGTTCGAAAAGTGAGCAGCAAAATAATGCCGAGTACATCCTGGCAAATAAAAAACTTGCACCAACTTCCCTCCCATTCTGCAATTCCCCTTCCCTTTCCTTTCTTTGTTTTTTTTTTTTCTGTTGTTTGTTGACTTTTCAACTCGACTGGCTGAAAATTGTGGAAAATCGTTCTGCGGCAGTTTGCCAGCTCACTTTGTTTGCACTTGCCGCCAATTTGCGAGAGAGGAGTTTTTCTGCCAGCGAACAAAAAACGAAGATAGGTAACATTTTTGTGGCCGTTTTGCTGTTGATTTTATTATGCCAACATTTAATTGTCGCAAATCGATGCCCAGGTGGCCATCAAAAAAGGCTAAAACGGCAAAAGGTGGGTCTATTCGTGGTCACGTTTTTAGTCAATTGCAGGCACGTGAAAAGCTGCTCTCCACACATGCGAGTCCTTTAAAAAGGCGACTTTATTAGTGGCGGAAAGTATCCTTGCTCCTGCTACTGCTCCTGCTGCTGCTTCTACTCATTGTTTAAGGACACTTTACGGGCATTGGTTGCAACCTTGCTGTGGCTTCTACCATTTCTTCTCCCAGGACAATCTTTGTTGAAATAAATTTTCGAATATTCCTCTGATTTACGAGCAGCGACAAGAAGTACAACACAATTGTGTGTGGTTTATGCACTTTGTTTATAGTGCAACATTGTTTCTGCTGTTCCAGTTAGATGGGCAGATAAGTGTTTAAATAAATGGGTTGCCACAAACATATTGAACAGTTATCGGAAGCGGAGAGATTTATTTGTCGCAAAAGTTGCCTACAAAATAATAATAAATCCGAAAACACAAACTGTAATCACAAAGTTAAACACGTTTGAATTAATCTGGTTTAAAAGGGATTTTAAGGAGCTATTTCTTAAAGGCATAATACAAAAAACAGTTTTTATATTTTTGAAGGATTTTAGCTTTACTTTAAAGTGATGAAATATAAGAACACTAATAATTTTATCATAATAAAATCCACTCAAAAGATAAAGATTAGAATGCACATTTAAACAAACTTTATTAATTGTTTGTGGTTGTATCATTAGCCTTCTAGAATTTAGCTCCTTAGTAACTGGAACTACACATGATAATATAAACTAATTGTTTTTTAGATAGGGTTTAAAACTGAAGCCAAGAACACAATTCACTTTTTCAACTAATCTGCTTGATTTCAATAATTGAAACCATCTCAATTTCTTTACCTCGTATCACAGCGCATTGTCTTATTGTTTAATGTCTGATTGTGATTATGATCCTGGCTGAGATTGTCCTGCCTCTGAAGGTGGATGTGGTGGCTATCTAGGCCGTTCTGTGGATGTGAGTCTGAGTGTGGGTGGGAATGCTGATTTGCCGCCGCTGAATGAACAAATCCCGCTGTCATTTCGCTCTCGCTTTCTGTTTGGGCAACTCGCGCACTTCTTCTCGGCGCGAACATCTCACGCCAGAAACATCTCAAACGCAACTAAACAAACAGCGGGCCAAGACAAAATAAAAGCTTTCCTCGAGCAACCCTCTGTTTTCGGGGTCCTTGAGTCCTTGAGTGCGGAGCGGAGTGACTCCTTGAAAGTCGATTCATTCAGATGAGGCGAAAGTGAAAGTCAAAGCGAAATGGCATCCCTTTGAGCTTAAGTTCATGGCTTTATCCCCCCTGAGATACTTGACATCCCAAAAAGTGCGTGAAGCCGAAATTTTGAGTGGAAATTTCGAGTGAGTCTGGGATCTGAATGGACGGGACTTTGTTTTGGGGTTCATCTTGGCCAACGGGGTGGGTGGCGGCCATAAAAATCCGCCCGTTTCCCCGGCTGACTGACTGACTTACTACGTTTCGCAATCGCTCCCCCAGGGCCTTCAAACATACATATATATATATATGTACATATATATTTTGTATTGGACACGATGCCGGCTTTGGCCAAAAGTAAACAAACGCACTTTTTTCTTTCACGGTCTTCCCTTTTTGGAGACTTCTTTGTTGTTTGGGCTTTGAAGCGTGTGTGTTGCGGAAACATTGTTGCTGCCACTTTGTTTGGAGATTGCCGGTGGAGATTGGGGCAGAGATTAGCTGAGATTAAGGGGGATTTTCATTGAGCTCTGCTTGTACGTGTCAACAATATGTGAATGTTATGAAGCTTCATAATGAGCGCCAACTAATAAACGGCATATTTTAAAGGATTAAGTTAAGATGAATAACTAATTTTTGGATAACTAATTTTGACTAAAATTATTAAATTACAATTAAAATGAAGAGTCTTGAAAACCACTAGTATGTTAGTATGGCTTAGAAAATATAAGTCACCAATTTAAAGTGGAACATAAATGGAAGTCACTAAAGAAACTAGTACTTCAAAAACTCATTATAATATTATCAGATTAATCTGAAACACATTATTTCCACTGATATTAATATGCAGTAATATTTTAATTTAAGAAAGCTTTACTTAGCCAATAGAAAGGTCTATTCAGAAATATTCAACTTTCAGATTTAAAATCCAAATTGCCAGAAATCAATAACCAAACACTTTAACACTTCAAAGATCACTCTTGGGGATTTCTTTAGTACACTTTTTCAATATTTGTCCGCTGGTTATGTGGTTTCCCACTTGAGCACTTGGTAGATCACTTCTTAGGTTCACTTTTTTGGTCATTGGGTGGCCCAATCCTGTCACTTACTTGCTCTGATCGACGACTGGCTGCATGGCCCACCGGCTGCCCAGCGGCTCCTCCTTAAGCGAGGTCATCGGACCCCGCGGCTGGTTCATGTCGACGGCGGCGGTGGGCGGGAGGCCGAACATTAGGCCGCCGGCCGATCGCGGACCGGAAACGGCGCTGGGGTACAGCTTGCGGCCCCACTCCATCCCGAGCTCCAAAGTGGGCCAGGGGGAGGCCGAGCTGAAGCCCGGCACCGGCTCCTCGGAACGCAGCTTGAAGCCGTCGGTGGCGAACGGATGCGGATGCGAGTGCGGATGCGGATGATGCGAGTGCGGATGCGAGTGCGAGTGCGAGTGCTGGTGGAGATCAGCGTACGCGGCGACGTCTCCTCCTAATCCTGCGCTGGAAATTGTGGCTGCCGTTTTGATGGCGTTTTGTGTTTAGCTCAACGCGATCGGAATTCGGTGTGGTATTTTCTGTTTAGATTTTATCAGGTCTCCGGAGATCTGGCAATCAATCGCGAAAAACGAACGTGTTCAAGTGTGTGTGTGTGTGTGTGTTGATTTGAATTGGTAGGTGTTTAGGTGTGGGTGTGAACTGGCCAATGCACCGCAGAGAATTTGGGATTTTCGGAAAATTGGTCTCGCAACAAGTTTGAGCGGCGCTACCGTCCCGAGTGGCTGTTAAACCCCAACTGAATCCTTGGCAGCGATGCTGCCGTAGCAGTCGAAAAGAAGCAGTGGCGCAGCTGCGGCAGACAGCCAACGAGAGTTTTGAAAATGGAAAACGAGTCTGCGCCACTGGAGAGAACGAGGTGCGAGAGAGAGCGCGCCGGGGGTGGGCGAATCCAATGGCGAGGCGAATGGCCAATCCCGTGGAGAGACGGTAACTGTCAGCGAAGGAAACCCACCACCAGCACCACTACCGCTGCACTGGAAAATCCTATGCGGAGAGAGAGAGCGAGCGAGAGAGCATCCCCCTAGGAACGCTGCGAATGGAACCGCAGAAGACGTCCCCACTCGCAGGGGGCGTGTGTCTAGGCGCTCGGCTCTGGGATCTGGGATCTCGGGGCCTCGCAGTCTCGCTCCTCCATTTCAGCTCAGTCCTATTCCCAGGCACCTTCGGTTCAGCTCTTCTGGGAGGTCAGAGTGTCGACGCCTGCAAAGTCACAAACACACCGAATACCAAACAAAAAATGCAAAACACTTATTCGAAACGGTAACCAAAAGCCAAACCAAAATCCCTGGGGAGCCAGGAAATTGTCATTGTGTGCTGGGCTCCAACCTGATTGGCCGTTGGGCAGCTGCCTTCAAGAGAGAGCGGTGTTAATGGTTTCTCTTTAGCTATCGGCAAAGCAGTTCGCAGAGCAAGCAGCGGCTGGTTGTATGGAACGGTTGGAAAAGAAATGGAACTGTTTGCTTGATATTTAAAAATATGTCAAACATGGAATTATTGAATTGGCAAAATAAATGCTCCCGATTTTATAAGATTTATATAGCTTTATGCGCTTAAATGGCTAAAAAATTGTTTAAACATGCTTTAGTATTTAATAATAATAAGAAAAACGGTGGAGTTTTAGCTTTTTGAATGTGATTCTTATTACTTAAAATATTTTTTCATAAATATAAAACTGATTAAAGAATTTAAATTAACAAGTGCTCATTGTTAAGCACGAAGAATGTGGTTGAAACCAAGATTTTAATCCTGTTGTTAGTTACACAAAGTTTTTAACACAAAGTTGATAAGTCATCATTTTGGGTTTTAACCCTTCTGACTTTGCCACATTATCCTGACAGAAGAAGTTGTCAAACACCGTGGAGTGCCTATAGCTATACCCTCCTCTATATCCCTCTCTCTCCCTCCCTCTTTCTACGGATTAGTTACCGGAACCGCCCACAAAATTTTCACGCCTCGTTAGGAGAATAATAAGTGAAAAGGTCAGGAGGGGAGGGCATTGGTTTTCAGGTTCTGGATTCAGGGTTCGGATGAAAAACAATTTGCATTTTCCGCATTTGCGGTTTCTGCCTGTGACCGATTGAATAAACGAGGGAAAGAGAGGGAAACACACCGCTTGTTTGACTTTTCCGTGAATTAATTTGAGGGGCGTGGTAATCTCATTAACTTCTGACAAGTCCGGAAAACTCCGTTAGGCAAACGTCGGCAAGTCAACTCTTTTTTTTCCGAGTTTCCCACTCCCTCTGCAACTGCAGGTCTATTTTCGAGAAGTTCTGGAAACATTTCCCCAGAGCTGCTGGCCCAAGTTTTATGTTTAAATCAGAGGCGAAAAGAGCAGACAGAAGATGTCCCCAGACATCGCTAATTAACCAAAATACCCAGAAGGAAATTCCTCGTCCTCTGCTCCTCAAATAAATTTTCTTTTTCCGCAAAGGTGAAGAAAATTCCCCGATCCAAAATCGTGGTCCGCGTGTTCGATTAACCCCTTTTATCACGCCCAATCCTCAGCGGACTTTTCCGGCCGCGACAGCTGTCGTGGAACACAATGACCCCTTAACCCCTGACACCCCCTCGTTGGCCGACGCCCCTGGAATCTGATTCAAATTGTTTACAATTGGATTTACATGGCGCTGGACTTTCACTAGCCAATTGCCTTATAATTTGTTGGTACATTCTCGGCATTTGATTTTTACCCCTTCTAAAGAGACTTTCGGGATTATCAGGGGTGACAATCGGAATTACTTTGCACCACAATTAAAGTGGTTTAATTAGTGAGAGTTTCCACTTTCAATAAGGAGCTGTAATGGAAATTAGTTCGGAAAAATAAAAGGAATAAAAGAGGTCTATATGAATCCAGAGGTCACTAAATATTATAATAATAATATTTTATTTGTGAACGACAAATAGGAAGGAACTTCAGGCAATAAATATTTTAAAATAAAAGAACCTACTTCCAATGTTTGTATAGTATGTCTAATACCCCTATATTGGCATTATGTTTTAAGTAACCCTTCAGCAAATAGGAACCTTTTCTATTTCCGATTTCCTTGGGCAAACCCTCACCCTTTTTCTGCGGCATCGCAGACGCCATCTCTGAGAAGACCATGAATAATTCTAATATGCAAACTGACTCGCATGTAAATGTCCCATTTGTCACTCGTAAACAAAAGAAATAAAGCAGGAAAATAAGAGGGCAACTGGAGAGAAGGAAAAGGAGCTCTAAAGTCAACTCTGTCCATATGCAAGACATTCACAGGGTCATAAATAAGGACGAGCGGAGGAAATTTGAGGCGCGAACATTTTAATTAGTTTCCAGCTCTCCTCGTCGAGTGCGTCCTTTTCTTTCCTTTTTTTCTGGGGCCAGGACACTTATGCAAATTACCCGGGGAACCGACTAATGAGAGGGGCGAAGGCGGCTAACACACCGTGAAAATAAATCATATTCCGTTCCAGATGGAAATTCTTTCCTCGATTTCCTCAAGTCATCATCGGCATTGTCGTGAGTTCGACGGAATCTGGTTTACTCTCCACGGAATTGGACAGATGCCGCAGATCCATCGAAGCACTGTGACAGTTGCATTGTTCGCCACATTGGACCACCAAAGTTTTCTCAATTCCTAGGAATTCAACCATTCAACCCCACCACATCGCATCGCACTTGCACTTGCAGCGATTTGAGGCAAGTGCTCAAGTGTTTGCCACTCCGTTTCGAGGGCACCAAACTGGACTCGAGTGGCACGTGGCCCGGGAAAAAAGCCAAGTAAATTTAATTAAATTATCTCAAACACGTGTTTGACCAACTGCAACGATTTTGGCAAAACAATCGCAACCAGTTTCAATATTTACCCAATCCTCGGCCTAAACGTTCTCGAGAGGGTAACTCCCAAAAAAAAAAAAAGGTTTCGTTTACATAAGAATAACAAAGGGTGTGGGCCCTACAAAAACCAAACCTTTCTTCAGATTTATTATTTCAACAAACAACAAAAAGGTGAATCGGGGGGCTAGGTTAACAATTTCTTCCCACAAACATTTTCGCACATGCCATCTTTCGTCTGGGAAAAACCCGTTTATCAGTCGAATAAAAATCGCAAAAAATCATAAATATTTACAGGTCTCGCTCAGCGATCTCAGCCGTTCGATAAGCATTTTTGTGGCCGGTGAAAACAACGTTGCCATAAACATGAAATTATTTTTAAGTCTGGCCAAATACGTGGAATCCGACGCATCAAATTCGCGATTGGAAAAGTGCGGCTGGTTCATTAACTTCGGTGCGGCCAAAGATTGATTTCTGGCCAAATAAAGTTAGCCAAAAATTCAAAAACTTATGGGAATGAAAATTGATTGGCAAAACAGACAAAACAAGGGGGTTGTATCACAAAAATTGAAAAAAATTAGAGAATTGAAATACAAAACCTGATGAAAATTAGAAAAGTTGTGGACTAAAAATTTGTAAATTTTGGAAATTTGGATAGGCAAGGAAATTTGTATCATAAAATTCATCTTCTTTCTAATAATTCCTTGTAATTTCTTTTCAATGCTAAGCAAATAAATTTAATTAAATTTCTTGTTAAACTGTCCCCTAAAATGTGTTGTAAATACTTTGATGTTTACTTTTATGAGGTGCTTGTCTGCGAAGGAGAATTCATGCTTCTCATTTGGGGTTTAGTGCAGCTCCCCGAGGGGTTTCCCTGCCCATTTCCCATTTTCCACCGCCCCATCGCCGCAGCACCTGGAAAAGCGTGTCAGCATTGGGGATCCTCTGGAGAACCACAAAAACGCGAACCCACTCTGGAAATGAGGAGAACTTGGAATGAGCTGCGACACATTTACTAGATTAATTAGCTCATTTACGGCTGACAATGTCCGTGTTAATTCCCCAAGAATTAAATGATAACATCATACGAAGTGGACCTTCAAAAGGTGTTCTACGTGTCAACGAAATGGTCCGGCAAATGCTCGATGACACTAATTTCGGTGTGTGTAGGGGGTTATCTCTGGTGATTCAGGGGCAGGAGGTAGTAGGGGTAGGGGTAGTATCTGAAGTGCAGCCGATTTGCATAATTCCAAGGACCAGCAGAGGACGCACCCTTCGCGAACGCCCTGCTAGTTTGAACAACTCACACCTCCCCTGATCATCTTTTATGCACCCCATCCTATTTTACTTCAACTCCCCCTTTTCCTAGTACACTGAAAAGTACTATTTACCCTTACAGATAATCCAAAAATAATACAGAATTATATAGGTTATTTTTAAGTCTTCAAATTAAATAAAGTTTATGGGGTTTTTTAACTATTTTCAATACAGTAATCCCAAAGAGAATAAAGGCGTGTCAATTTTAAATATAATTCTCTAAAAACTAGTTTCTTTAAAAAACATAATATTTTTTTTTTTTTAAATTGTAACTCTACTGAAATTATATTATTCAAAATGTATTAATTTGTTGAAGTGTATATAGGTAGACAAAAACATAATTTGACTTCATTATGCGAACAGTTGTTGCCTTTAGTTTTGGTAATTTATTTCAATTTTTTCAGTCTTCCGCTGTTTTCCACCGCCGTGGGCAAAAAGGGGTTAATGCTCCTGAAGTGCAACCCCTGGAAATATATACTATATGGTATCCTTGTCCTGCAAATGTTCACTTAACTGAAGTGCGTGGAGAAAATGCCTCAAATATTTTGCTACCGCTGCCATTGTTGCAATTGTAATTTGTCTTTATTGTTGCTCCCTCAGAGGATGAGGAATTCGGGTGTGGCCGAAAAAGGAGATTCTTTTCAGACAAATCACAAATGCTTCTGGCCAAAGGAGATTGGCCTATCACAACATAGATCCCGGCATTCATAATTAATTTTTGTGAAATTTTGAAGACTCATCATGGCCGAAAGAACGAGGAAGTTGGCAGCAGGACGAACCAACTCCCGGGAGAGGCGACCTTTTTGGCCATTTAGTCTCAGTGTCAGCCACAAAAACAAACAAACAAGCAGGCAAACAAGAAGCTGCTAACTGTTAACTGGTAACAAAATAACGGTACTTGACTTGGCCGTTTTTCGAGCCCAACTTTCAAAAGACTGGACAGCTGCACTTTTCGGTCAGAAATTTGGGAAAACAAGGATATTGACACTTTTCTTCGTCTCATTCTCAGCGTTTTTCTCAGGGAAACTTATACCCCTTCCCATTCCCCTTCGAAATCCCTCAAAACTTCAGTTTTGTGGTCCTGCTCCAAAGGACATAACCATGCATATAAATTTGATTATTATTAAGTCGGGCACATTAGTGAGCATTTCTAATGAACGGAGTCCTTCTGCATGAAAAAAGGGTCAGTCGACAGACAAACCCCAACCTCATTTCCACACGAGCCCCCGTTAAAGCCAATTTATAAGTACTCAGGTTTATGGTTTTAAGTATTTAAATATTTAGCACACTTCTTGGCCTCAGACTGTAGCTATCCGTCTCTTTCTTGCCTTATAGCCCCCTCTCTTTCTCCACGTGTGTGTGTGGGGCTTTTATTCATAATTTATGCGTCCGCAGGGCGACACTCATTCGGTTTTGAGTGGGTGTGAGTGTGAGTGCACTCATTAACTGGAGGAAGTCCTTAAAGCCAAATGAGCAAATTTAATTTAAAATGGGGAATGCTTGGTTGGTTAAGCAGGTAAAACACAATATACTTTCTACCTAATTTTTGATAATTATAATTTAAGATCAAAGAACAAATTTTAATGAAAGCGACAATTCATAAATGATAATATTATACTAAAGAATAAACCATTTAAAACATACTTATTCCTTTTTATTTCTTGTTTCATAATAAAAATAATTGGTCTGTAACCAATTCCTAAAGTAAATTCTACTAATTAGCTAACAAGAAATGAGCAAGTTCAATCGAGCTAAGTGACTCCAGATTGTTTCCCCCTTTTAATCCCCCTTCCCCAAATTCAAATTCTTCGAGGACATTATGCGCTGCCATCGAACTGACCTGATAAATGAAGCCATTCCGATTCCGATGGCGATGTTCGGCTTAGCGATTTCAATTATCGTGCAATGAAAGCGGGTTGCATTTACGAGGGGGGTGGATGGGTGGTTGGGTGGTTGGGTGGAGGGGCGTGGCAGGCGACCGCCGATTAGCACGTGCCACCCGTTCCGAGGTCGGCGAGCAGAATCGGAGGAACAACCGAAAAAGCCAAGGACACGTGGCAGGAGCGCAGCCTCCGAAGATAAACATAATTATGCAACTTAAGGGGGAGCGAAAGGGGAGGCGGGTTGCAAGCCAATCTGATAACACGCAACGAGATTTGTCATCATCAAACAAAGTGGGCGTGAAAATTGCGGATGAGACCGGCCAAAGGATCTGCAGGAAGGAAGGAAGTCAGGATGTAACTATGCAGGACTACACGACGCAGGGCTTCCTCTCCGGATGCAATCATGTCCTGGGCGTGTGCGCGAAATATCCTTTGTTTGCCTTTCCCAGGATACAAAAACGAGACGGCGAAAAATAGTCAGAAATAATTGCCAGGCAGTCGGGATAATAAAGATACTCGTCGACCAAGTACATTATTGGCATTGATATGGCCGGCTATATCTGCCATATGCTAGTCGTAGTAACCCATAAATCGGCTGAGGAAGGGGATTGGGCAATAATTCCAGATTCCGGTCGCGTTTCCCAGCCACCAACCTCAATGCATTTCACTTTGTCGCTGAATATCCTTTTACACTACCAGAAAAGGTTCTTAAAGTTCCTCTAGTAAAGAAACATATATAGATTAGAAAAGAAATATCTATTTGTAGTAGTTATTTTAATTTATTTTAATTTTAGAAGTAAAAAGTTGTTCTTTTATAAAACAGAAAAGAAGTGTATATTTCCTTGTATTTGGTATTCTTTTATTTAAAATGAAGAAGAATGTAGTTATTCTAATTATAACCCTTTAGATTATTTGTTACCTTTCCAACTATCAGTTTTTTTTCCAGGTGCACATTCCATTTCCCTGACCATCACGTAGTTCATCAGGCGGCTTCTTTTAGCCTTGTGTCCTTGTTCCGCATTAAAGTTTCATTCGGCCGAGGCCACTTGGCATGCTATCCAGAGAGCCACTTTCGACCTGGCTGAAAGGATACTAATCATAGCACTGCCTCCATCAGCAGGAGCATCCTACTCGGCATTATCCTCATCAGGTTGATTGCGAAAAATCACTGGAGAAATCAGGCGAGGTTCGTGATTTCACACTGACATATCTGGCGAAGTGGATTTGGAGTGGTTTTCCCAACCAAATAACCACCCATCCTCATCCACATAAATTCAACTGACAATCACAGGCAAATTTTTCCGACTCTTTTGTGTATTTTTAGGCGAAAAACATTGAAAATCAATTTCAGTTGAGGGAGGTTGAACTCAAAAAGCAAATTGTCATTCAGCCCCCTTCCTCCGAAAATTGTGAAACATTAAATACGGATTTGGCCTTCTGATTTGCTTATATTACTTGCTTCAGCTGTTTCAATAACTCATATTTTTCGCAGTTCCCCAGAGAAGGAGGAAAACCCCCAGCGAAGGCCAAATAAAATTAAATGAAAATTATTTGGTCTTGAAATACAAGTTTTTTTGTTGCTTTTTAGTTGAGTATCCAAAGTTGGATAGTGGGGAAAATTAAACAAAATAGTTGCTCGTAAATCAGACGAGAGGCGAAGCCAATTTCCTGACTTTGGCCAGGATGTGGAACCCATGTCCTGTCTGGCGATGAAAAAGGGGGCGGGGCTCGATGTCCCTGGCCGGCTGTCAAACATAATCACCTTGCCGCCCCACAAGTTCTATTCTCAGAGGAAATTTATGTTTTTTATATGGACGACGGCGGAGAAACAAAAGTCTGTGTGTGAATGAAATATTTTATTTTGCTTTTTACCCGCCCAACAAACCGCTCGTTCATTTTTTAACACATTTTGTAATTTCAACACGTTGCCACGTACCGCAAAAGTTTCCTCTGCCAACTGTCCACCAATTGGAGACTCGGATGTCCAGCACTCGGACTTGGATCTTGGAACTCGGATGATTAATGGTTCCGGGTCTTTCGGACAGGCTCCGCGTTGGCTGGGCCAAATAATAAATCGTTCAAATCGGCTGGGGATTATTTTTCCAAGTAGGCGGTCGCCGTTTTGCTCTGTCACCATTTTTGCGGAAAAAAAGGTTTTCCTTTCTCTTTTTCGTATTCAATTTTTGCACATATTTTCGGCAAAGAACGTGTGCGAAATTCGAAAATATTTATGGCTAACAAATGGCAGCAAATTTGTGGATTTCAATTGGATTAATCTAAATCCAAGGAATTGAATAAGTTTGCGTGTTCAAAAAACCAAAACTGAAGGGAGATTGTAATTGGATTAAATAGTGGAAGAAATATTGAGGCTGAAGTTTGAAGAATATAAAGCTTACTATTACTATTCGAAAGTTTTTTGTTAATAAGTTGGTTTTCTCATGAAATACTGTTTATCTTTTTTTAACATACTTATTTCGGTTTCACTTGAATTTGTATTTGTATTTATTTCTGTTCTAAATATATAAACAATATTTATAATAACCATTCAGCAAGTCCCGCTAACGAGCCCACTTAATCTCTTAACCAGTTACCTAATGACTTGAAGGATTTCCTGGAAGATATATGTTAATGTAAAATCAAACAACAAGCTTTGTTTTGATTTTGTTGGTCGAAATCAACCAAAACCCCGGTAAAACCAGTTCAATTTCTACAGGTAGCGAGGAGAAACCCTCTGCGAATTGATTAATATTCATATATTATTATAATTTGTAGACGCATGCCAGCCATTAAACAAATTAAGTTAAATGAATAGTTTAAGCTATACAAATTATATACATGTGTTTCTTATTCTCAGTATTTGAGGTGTTGGCCACGTTGTAATCAGGTTATTGCCCCAAGAAAAAAACGAGAATTGAGAAGTTCTACTTGACGAAACTCGAATAGGGTCAAAAACAAAGCTTGGGGCGAAGATTGGGCAAAAATAATGAGCAAAAAGAGCAAGGGCACTTGGCCAATTTACACGACTTGGCCAAAACAGTTCGAATCGCTCAGAGGCATTCGAATATAATGCAAAATACAAATAAAGTGAAAACAAACAGAACAGAAATCCCCAGTTGGCGGCTTGGCTGCTCCGTCATGTATTCCTCATTATCATCAGCTTTTCGGGGGATTTATTTGTGAGAAAAAACCTTTTAGCCCAGAGTGAGTGAGAAAAGTTTACCGAGAGCGGTGATATTATTAAGCGTGTGGTATGAATCACAGAGCCTAACTTTATTTTTATGAGTCTGAGCCAGGTTTTAAGATCTTGAATTGCCTGGCTTCATCTTTTGTTTATTGTCGGTTCTACCGGTGGAGTTATTTGCTCGGCTCTTCTGGTTGCTTGACGGCTTCTGCTTGTTCTTCAAGCTTTAGATGATAATGACGTTGATGGTTCGCACTACGTCAGCGCTAAAAATTTCCATATAAAAGCGAAGAGCAGCCGCACCGCGAGCTTAGTCGTTTTGGAACTTTTCACGCGTTTGCTGCCTCAGTCTTTCGTTCGTCTTTTGTGAGTGTTAACCCGATAGATAACCCCCTGGAATTACCCCTCCCAAAAAAAAAACCAATTACTAAGTGCTGAAGTGTTTTTGCAGATTCCCCCGCTTAACAATGAAATACGCTGTGATCGCCATCGCTCTTTTCGCGATTTCTGCCGCTGCGGCCTCTTCCGGTAAGTTAAAAGTTAATAGCAATTAGTGGAGTGTTTTAGCCAGATTCTGCAATTACATCATCGCCAGCCAAGGCTGTGGCTGGGGTGCTTATTATTAATTTGATTAACAAGTCGGCCGACGGGTGCGGGTATGTTAATAATACCCGAAAATCAAAAACCGAAAACCCATCGGAGCCATCCGGAACCCGAAACTGGTTTGTGAAATTCGCTGGCTCATTAACTTCGCGACAATGTTTGCCCATCGAAACTTTCCGCACATTAATTGCGGTTTTTACTATCAATCCAGCTATTCAAATTCGCATTTAGTTTGGTTATTCATGCGATTGGAGAGTGCACAAACTTTCACACTCGAAATAGAAACTTTCTTTGTTTGAAGCTGGCGAATGACTAGCATACTTTCGGGATTTGTTTATGGGAAAGATACCAAACCTATAAAAAAGATATATATATTTATTAGAACTAATATTAAATGGGTTTTTAGTAATAAAAATTGTTCTTTCTTTTTACCTTGGGATATAATATAATTATTGCAAGTCTTTCTAATAATAATTCTCTTATTTTTCAGCCGGCCAGTTCCTTCCCCGCGCCTTCTTCACCCTGGACGCTGAGGGCCACCAATCGGATGTCCACCCAGTGAACGCCCATCTGCTGAGGCGTCTGCGTCGCCAGACGTACAGCTCCTCCTCCTCGTCGTCCTCCTCCTCTTCCTCCAGCGGAAACGGTGGCACCATCACCTTCGCCTCGCACTCCATCCAGAACCCCGATGGCTCTGGCCAGTCCGGCTCCTCTTACACCCAGCAGGCTGCTGCTCCAGCTGTGTAAGTGATCTCTATAATATTATATTTAAGTCTTAAGAACCGGAATGAATGAAATAATTTTTTTATATTTTTATAAATATTTAATTTATTGTTTATATAATTTAATTAATAATCATTTTACCATCTTCTAGTGGCGTAAGCTTCGACAGCCGTTTCGGTGAGGACTCCGCAACTGGGGGCAACTACAACAACTACAACAACTACAACACTCCGTACGCCGGCGTAAACACCGCCTCGATCAACACCAATCTGGGATCGGGAAGCGTGGGCAGCTACCAGCAGAGCTACGGAGCCACTCCCATCAGCACCGTCCACCAGAGCATCACCTCCTTCGACGCCAACGGAAACCAGAAGACCACCACCATCCAGGGAACCACCGACCAAACCGGACAACTCAACATCAAGAAGACCGAGATCAGCTACCCAAGTAATTAGAGGATGGAACCTCTTAGAAATTAGTAATTTTCAAGTGCAATGGACTTAGCATCAATAAATTAAAGTAAATTAAACAAAGCTTTTGTTTTTATTTTAAAGTCTTATGTAACGGCAATCATAACCAATTCCGTTTTCATATGGTTATATTTTATTAGGTAAACTTATTTTTTATTCGGGAAATTAAACTATCAAGTTTTACTCAAAACTGATATATTTAAAATCTTTAGAAGAAAGGATCTTATCATAACTCCTTTTAACGTGTTCTTATTGTTTTTCGCTTGCCATTTGGTTTGGTCAATTAATTGCTTCCAAGTGGGCGCACAGCCACGCCCCCTTCCAGATGTCGCAGCTTATTCATTGCGGTTTCTATCGCTTCAGCTTTTAAAGTGTTCATTTTTTGCACACTCTAGATGATTGCATCGCACACTCAATATCCTGCCAGCGATGAACTGCAACCTGCATCCTATATCCTTCATCCTCTTTCATTTCAAGCTTAATTTCACAGAAAAAAGAGATGAGAGTTTATTCAGGGGCGTAGGCAGGAAATTCTAAAGGGGTGAATGTTAATTTTGATATTACAAAATATTCAGAAAAATAATTATATAATACCACTATCCAAATTGAATGCTTTTACCGTTTTTAAATACTTAAATTAAATTTAAAATTTGTTTCCCTGTTTTTTTTTTTTTTCCGATGGGGGGGAACATTCTTCATACGCCACTGCAAGTAAGTAAGAGAGGGACGGCGAGAAGTGCACAATGCCTGCTCCGTTAAGCAAAAACAATTGTCGGTGGGCGTGTGGGGGGTTAATCGGGCGTATGTGGGCGTGTTACAGGAGGCGTGGCAGGCAGTGTTGGTAAATGCTTTTAGTGTATTAGGGCAGCCAAGCGGAATTTTGCAGCCGCCAAAGCTGTTAGCGGTGATTAAAAACTAGTGCACTCAAAAAAACCAAGACCAATTCTCGACAAAAACTAATATGTTCAAGAAAAAGAGTATAAAATGGGGAGCTACGCAGAAATAGGAAGAAAAATGGGGAAAAGGTGCACGGCACAAGATATGAATATGGGATTTGCTTGGGGAATTGCTAAAATCTCAACAGGTGCACGCACTTTTGAACACACAAACCGCATCTCTCACTCGTTCACACTCCCCCACATGAAAATGTTGAAAAGTTTGTGGCAACTTCAGTGAAAAGGAGCGAACGAGACAAAGGCAGCCGAAAAGTTTTTAATTATTATAATTAATTACTTTGATCTCTGACTGGCAACTCGCTCCTTCTCGCTGCTATTAATTTACTTGATTAAGATGAGGTTTTTCCCGCCTCCATTATTAAAATGTATCTCACATAATTGGGAAAGTGTAATGAATTTACTTTTTCAGCGAGACCTGCGCGACTGTGATAGATTTTCATTAGAGCGGACGGCATGTGTGGAGCACGGCTAAGGGTTAATTAGGGGAGTGCCACAAGAAGGTTAAGAAGGTCTTGGGTAAAGAGATTAATTCATCATAAGTACTGGCAACTTTCAACTATGCATAAATTATGATTTATCTTAACCCATCTGTTTTGCACTAAAGAGGAGTTAGAATTCCTAAAGGGCATATTAAATTGTGTTTTATAACTTTGCATTCTATAAATAATTCCTAAAGCAAAACGTATTTTTATATTATTTAAGCGTCATGTTTACTTAATATCAGGGTTTCTAATCTGAGTAAATAACTATATTTAGTTGTTTGCCTATCAACTTATAATTGCATGAGTCAACCTTTGACATTGGCGAAGAATCAGCTGGGAGCTTAACTTCTACTCTCTTGAGAAAAGCTTTATTACTTTTAGAAGATTCAGGTTTTGGACATGATGTTCCTCTCCCTTCTCTTTTACTAATGTTAATTATTTTCTTATAAGCCTTTAATCAATGATTAATCATCAAATCAGATATTTGGCCAAAAGCAAGAATTGTTAGAATCTCCAGCGAAAGCCTCATGCAAAGAGATAGATAAGAAGGGAAATTCAAAGAACATGCTTCAGTTCGCGTGCTCTGAATTTTCGATTCAACGGGACTGTCGCAAAAAGCGATTCTTCTGCTTGTTCTTGCACCATTCCGGTTGAAGAATCGGAATCGGCTGCTGATTGATGGGGAGTCAAGCGGAGACAGCGGACAACTTGCAACAAATTAAGCGTCTTGTGTGGCCAAGCGTTGCGGTAGATCGACGCCACCTGGTCAGGTAACCCACCGCCACCACCATGCCTCTTCTCCATTTATCCTAGATACACTAGGAAAAAATGTGAGTAAGAAAGAAACCACCAGAGGTTATTCATAATATAAGAAATTTTAGCATCCCCTTAAAACCATTTTACAATACTTTTCACTTCTCAAATAATCTTTTGTCTTTTTGAAAACAGTATCATTTATCTTTAAACTTTTATATAAAATATATTATGCAGAATGAAGTCATTGAATTTTACTTAATTGCTCCCCCTTTTTTCGAGTGCATCAGCACACTCCCCCCTTCCCCTAATTCCGATCCCATTGGCAATTTCCAGAGAGTGACCACCGCCGGCGATGCCTAAATTCAGTTGGACACGAGCGCCAATGCAGCGATCAAGTGACATTTTATTGTCGGCGAATCTTGGCTGTTTGTTTTTTGCCTTTTCGCTGCTCCTGGTTGGGTTTTTGCCTTTGCTGCATTTGCTATTTAGAGGCATGAAGGCAGCGACGGATAATTGACAACAGTTAATTCCATTCCATTGATCGCCGGAGCGTTGAAATGTCGCAAATTTAATTATTGAAGCCGCACGCTGCCAGTTCATCGGGAATGCCTCCATTGACTGTGGGTGGGCATGGGCAATTTAAGGAGGCAATTCCACATGGGTATTGCCAAAAGTTATCCGTAGAGGGAATTGAAGTTCTCAAGAAATAATAACTTAATTAAATAAACAATGTTTGGCATCTATTGAAGATGATATGTTATATTTGTTTCTAATCTATTCTTATTAAGATAATATTAGGGACTTTTGCTTAAGATTAATACATACAATTTGTTTCCTTTAAGAAAAATATTCATAGATAAAAACAAATCACTTTGTACTTTAAAACTTGTAACACTTTTAAAACTCTGATTTTTTTTTGCTGAATTTCTATTTTTACACAAGTTTTCCCTGAATTCATGAAGAGTGATAGTCTTGAGCACTTTTTTGGCTTTCAAGTTAAAACAAACAAAAAGGTTCTGCAAGTCGAGAATCGGGGGAAACGAGGAGACAGGAGGCAGGTGAGTGCCGCCAAACGAGAACCAAACAAAACGAACTGTTTCCTGACAAATTTCTGTCATTTCAGCAGGAGCTGGAGAAAAACGGCGAAAACTGGCGAAAAAATGGAAATGGAGCGGCAAAAAAGGAGACCAACGATTTGTGCAGTCATCGGAAGCGGAAGCACTGCCAGGATTCACTGCTCCTCCTTTTCCCATTTCCCCTTGACGATGACCAAGTGACGAGGACATTCGGTCCGTGGAGTGAATGAAGGATAACGCGGAGTGAAGCTGGAGTGAGGAGTAAAGAGCTCTGTTGACTTAAATCGTTTAGGTAAAGTTAAACAACTTGTTCCGTTAATTGTTAAACAATGCCCAGTCGAAAGGAGGGAAAACCGGAGGCCTGAGAGTTTTCCTCTTTTCCTGGGAGATTGACAGATTTGCTGGGAATAATTGATGGAAAAACTCAGGGCAAACAAATGATGGAAATCTGAAAGGATGAATATGATTGAAATGAATTCGTTTAAAAGAAGTTGAAGTGCTGGAAAGAGATTTAGTCTGTGTTTTAATTTTGTTAGATATTTATATATTATATAATAGCTTAACCACTTAAGCAATTATGCAAAATTTTAATTAACTTTCTTGTGCTTTACTAACTTAAGTTAGTAGCGAAACCTTATTAATATAATTATGCTTTCATATTACTTTTAAAATAATTTCAACCCATTTATAACCCCTGAAATATAATTAAACCTTTCTAACTGAGTTTCGAAAAGCATTTGCGGATCTTCAACTTTAATTGATGTTGCTAATGAACCCTTTTTCATGCAATATGTGCACTTTTCCGACGCTTCAGTTATTTGTTAGTGTTTTTCCACATGCGGGGGTAATGGAAAGGTGGTGTCCTTGCAAAAGGGTGAAAATTCCACCCAAAATAATGGCAACAGAACCGAAAACAACAAAAACAGCAGCCAGCATAAGAGCAATAGCATCTCCATATGCAGACGTAGATTTCCGTTGCGTTTCCCTTGGGGCATTTCCCCCATCCATTCTTTTTTTGTAACTCTTTTCCTCTTTTCCACACGCCTTTTTCGAAACCCTTCCCTCTGATCCTTTACTCCAACTCGGTTGACAATACAACAAGGATCTTGAACATCTGTACCTAAGGTGTTGTAAAGCAAATTTTTTATATGGTTGTTGAATACTATAAATAAAAAAATAAAAACAAATTTTTTCAGATATTAATGTAATTTTAACGGCCAAATCATATAATTTAAGTACTGATTAACTACCCGATAATATCTACATTAATCGACATATTTGTTTAAAATCAGAACAACTCATATGCACACATAAAGCTGTTCGGCTAAGGCGACGTCGATAAAGCAGTTCGTCATTCTCTTTGCACTGGGCTCTCCTACAGTTTCTCTTAGTCGCAAGCAAATTCTCTTAGCATCTAAAGTTGCTTCTTATTGGTGACTAGAAGTGAAAGAAAGTGGAGCAAAATGAGAAAAGCGACTGACCAAAGCGACTTTTGATTTTTCCATGGCCAAGAAAAAAACACAACCTTTTCAAATATTCATACAGCTGCGGCATATGGAAAACTCATGTAAATTTTCAGTCGCACCCAAGATCCTGGCTAAATTATGAGTACATTTCCACTTCAAATTTGTCTAAAAAAAGATATTTATTGCTATGGCAAGAAAAAAAAAGCCCAACAAAATTAAAATGCATTACAAACCATTGGCTTACCGTGAAATCTGGAGGGTTGTCCGTACTACAGAAATATGGTAAGCAATGCATATTAAATTTATTATTTTTTCAGACTTTTTCTACATTTACCTTTGGAGTAATTTAATAGAAATGTTCCGGCAATTAAGCTTCCGACGAATTTTTACACTTTTGTGCACAAAAACAAAGTGGAAAAAAAACAGGACAGCGTTTTCATTGTTTGCATATTTAATAAAGCTAATCAAAAACACGTCGCGCCCTCACTGGATTCAAAAAACACGGATCTCTAGCTTTAACCCCGACCGATTTTGTGCCCGATTTTAGGGGAGTGAGGCGCTGCAGTGACAGCATCCTTCACATAATTTATTGGCCAGCACTCAAGGACACAAAGTCGGGAAAGACAGGCAAAAAAAAAATAAACAAACAAACGGATATCGAAAAAAACTGTGAAAAACCCAGCGGGAAACCACCGACGGCAGCCAAACTAATTTGTTGTCATTTTTATGCGACAAAAACGAAAACAATAAAACAGTAAAAACAAATTGTTAGACAGAGATGCAGCGAGAGGGAGTGAAGGGGATGGACAAAGGACCACAATCCTTGCAGCTGCCATAAAACTGATGAATTATTGATTGAAATAATATTTTCTATTGAACTTAGTACAATTTCCATACCAAAAAAGGAGTAAGTAAGTCAAGATTTTATAGAGAAACTTTAAGAGACCTTGCCAAAAATATTAAAAATATTAAACTAGGCAGTGGAACTACATATATATATGTTTATATATAATATAAGAACACTCTATAGAACGTTTTTTTATATTAAGATGTATAAATGTTAACATCAGCTTAACCCCTTGCAGCACTTGATATCACTTTGTTATCAATATGCATAATCCTGTGATTATAATCAGGAAAGTTCCTCCCCCGAAGCCGCGGGAAATCGGGTGTAAGGAAAAACAAACAGCGAGAAAACGGTCACCGCAGCGGAAGTCAACAAATGCTCTTAATTAACGATGCTGAACACCAGAAATTTCGAGTGTCAACTAACAATTTGTGGGTGCCGGGTTGTCCTGTGATCCTGTGGCACTCGTTAGTCAAAGGATTTTCGCGCATATGGACTGAAATTGATGATGTGAGCAAGTGGCACGTAATCAATTTACCAGCGCACTCCGCTCGCCTCATTTCAAATGCGAATTTAAGATGCCATTGTCCCAGTGTCGAGGACACCCCGTATTTTTTGTAGCCATTTGCGGACGCGGACGGAGGGTTGGTCTACGGTCGGTACTCATTACGACGAACTCCCGGCTGGTGTAACAAAATATCCACAACATATGTGCCACGAGGCCAGGATGTTCAAAATCAAAATCCTATTGGTAAAGGAAGCAGCGGTTGCAAACTATGGGTTAATGTGCATTGCAAACGGATTAAAATCAAATTTGTACGGCAGCATGGGTTACAAATTGGAAAGTACTTATAGTTTATGTTGCTGATTATTGAGAACCAAAACTCCATTTTTGTGAAACAAAATTTGTAAAATATAATCCCCTCAAATTTAAGAACTGTGAAGTGTCTCAAAAACCATATTTTAATCCACCAAAAATCCACAAATCCACCCCCTTAAAAGCAACAACATAAGTCACTCAATATTCCCGCCTTTACAACCCAAAAAGCCTCTTAGTTATTTTGATAAAAGTATCCAGTACCCCCAAAAAACCCAACAAGAAACCCATATCCACATCCACCCACATGTGGGACATTCGTTTTATTTTGTTGATTTGCCAAGGGCCCGTGTCTTATTTACATCGACTTTGGGTCGCCTTTTATGTTCCTAATGTCGCATAAACAGTGCTTAATAATGCACTAACCTTGGCGCATCGCCACTAACCGTGTAAAACGTGGCTCAAACCCACCCAAAAAAAAAAATGAAAAAAAACAACCCACTCGTCGACAGGGATTAATATTTAATTCGTGTGCGTTGGATCCCTGTTCAAGTATGTATTTTAGGGAAAATTTAATGGCCACGAAAGAGGCAAGGATGTCAAAAGTCTCCATATGGATGGGCGTACAACCTTTTGTCTTGAACGAAACGAAATTTGAGTTGGCGACGACCTCGGGGATCATCGCCTGTTTACCTGAGCACTCTGCATTTTCAAGCTATTGAAATATTCCGTTTGACCTGCTAAACAAATATAATATGTGAGGAGCCCAAAAATGAAATGAAAACAATGAGACATGTTCTTGATGGTTTGGCCAACTCTTAATCACTGTTTTGATTATGTGAGCCGACGACTTTTGCTGATTCGCACAATCGGAAGCGATTACCACACAATCGGAGGGGGAGGGTGTGGAAAATGTGGGAGGTGAAAGCACCCCCAGAGTGCAATTAGCAGGCAAACTATAAAATTTCAGTGTTTGTCTTGCCAGATACTTTCGCCCGTTCGCAGATACAGATACACAGATACGTTTGTGCGGTGGCAAAACAAAGGATGACGATGATGGCCATGTTTGGACTCCCCCTGAATTTCGGCTCACATCACCCACATGGCTGGCCATTTCTGTGTACGCTTAATTGGCGTTCTGCGGCTTTTTCAACCCAACCATCTTCACCTAAGACATTTTCACAGGCTCTTTAAAGAGCTTTTCCTGAAAGTAAGTTAGAAAATCATAGCACACAAGCAGACTAACTTAAGAAAAGTTATAGCGATCTGAGCAATATTAAATTAAATATTAAATTTATAATTGTAGAAGTAAAATAAACTAAAATATTTTTTAAAGAAATTACTATTTAGCCATCTAAAATTTGAGCTAAGGAAATCCAAATTTATTACGGCTTTTTGATTTTATTAACTTTATTTTATTTAATAAAACCTTATAATCCAAAATTACTAAACTAAACAGGTTGAATTACGGAGGCATCCACGAGACCAGTCTCCTCGGGCGCCAGGAACTCCTCCACAACGGCATTGGTCATCCGGGTGAGCTTGTCGTGGAGCTCCTCCCACTCCCTCTCCTCCGGCAAACCGCAGATTTCAGCGTTGAGTTTGATCTTGAGATCGTTGGCAGCCGATCGAAGGGTGACTATATAGCCATTGGTAAAGGTAAAGGTGATCAGCTGGGCATCCGGATTGATGGGCATGCGAGCCTTTTCATCGCTATAGGAGGTGTCCAGTCCGGTGGTCAGATCCCGGATATGGACCACCTCGAATTCGCCCTCCAAAATGCAATTGGGATATCCTCCGCCCTCCTTGAAATTCCGCAAGTGGTCAAAAATACTGACGATATCATCGGGACTGTCAGCCACGAAAACCGAGGAAGTCGAGGAGTGATAGCCGTAGGTTTCGTAAATCTCCCTCAGCTTCTCGATCAGAGTCACATTCCTGGTGCTGCGAAGGTAACACGCCATGGAGGCCAACTGCATGGCTGCTCCAATGCCATCCTTGTCCGGCAAACTCATCCCGAACATGTAACCAAAACAATCCTCGAATGCGAAGAGTACTGTCCTCCCGGATTTTTGCAGCTCCAATGCTCGATGTGCCATCCAGGGAAAACTGGGCCATCCCTCCACAAAAACGAATCCTTCAATTCTTGCCATTGCCGAAAGGATTCGGGAACTGATCAGTGTGGATATCATCACGCAATTGGAGACAATTGGCTTTGGAGTTCGGGTTTTGTAGTTCTCCAGAGCCCACCATCCCAGCAAGGCGGCTATTTCGTTGCCATTGAATATCTTCCAGCGACCACGGGGATTCAACTCAGCAATGGCCAGGCGATCCACATCTGGGTCATTGGCCAGCACCAGGGTGCAGTGCTCCGCCTCCGCCTTTCTGATGGCCAACTTAAAGGCATCTTTGCCCTCTAAAAAAAGAGATGGGATTTTAAATAAAATAAGAACTTGAATGAGTTGGAATCTTAAATTCATTAATTCTTTAAAAATAAAAGAAAGTTCTGTAAAACCCTTAAATATGAAAATAAATAATAAGTTCTATCTAACTTTGATTTTCAATTAAAATTCTTGATTCCGACAAGCTAATCTCTATTTAAAATATCAAAATGCTAACTTCAGGCAATCTAATCTAATCGTATTGCTCACTCACCTTCTGGATTTGGATTGACCAGAGTGGGGAACTCCGGGTCGGGATCCTTCTGCTCTAGGACGGGAATCACCGGCTTAAGTCTTGCCTGGTAGAAGGCCTCTCTCATGAAGGGAAACCCAACTCCGTGGAGAGGTGTGTAAACGAACCTCAGCTGACTGCACTCATTGGTCTCCAGATAAACCGGAGGAAGGAGCTTCTTCAAGGTCTCATAGAACAGTGGATAGATCTGTCGATAGGGATCCTCCACCATCTGGTGATCGACCAGCTGGGAGGTTTCCCAAGACGAGGGCTTCGGCTCCAGGTTCTTCATCATGTAGTCACGAATCCGCTGATCGTGCGGCGCCATCGCCTGAGCTCCATTCGACCAGTAGACCTTGAGGCCATTGTCCTCCTTGGGATTGTGCGAGGCGGTGATCACGATCCCCGCCAGGCAATTGAGGGTCACAATGGTGAAGGGGATGAATGGAGTCGGGGTCATCCGGGTGAAGAGAAACACCTTGAAGTCGTTGTTGAGGAACACAGTGGCAATCAATTGGGCGAATCGCTTGCTGTTGTACCGCCCATCGTAACCGACCACAATTCCCTGGGTTTGCCGCTTCTGGATACTCGGATAAGCATCGATGAGGTAGGCACAAATGCCCTGGGCCGCCTCGATGATCACCACATCGTTCAGGGAGTCGAACCCCGCTCGCATTCCTCCCCTCAGTCCGGTGGCCAAGTAGGTGATCCTGTGGCACAGCCTCACGCGCAGAGCCTCCCAGTCCTCGTCCCTGACCGCCTCCAGAACCTGGTTAAGTGTCGCCTCGTTGCGGTCCCACAAAACCCAGTTCTGGATCTGCTGGTCCAGCTCCTCGTCGCCGGAGAGATTGAGGGTCTTCAGGAGCTCCTGCGGCGAAAGCACCGTCTTCCGCTTCACAGAAATAGACATCTTCTGGCCGAGATTGCAAGGTCAACCGAGCTAACTGGGAATTTTGTTGCAAATCATCAAATTTGAATTTAGGGATGAGTTTTAACTCCCTGTTCTTTAAATTTTAGAAAATTATATTCCCAAAATTAATATTATATTTTGAATGCAGGGTAATTTGAATTTCTTTAGTTGCTCCAATTTAGTTTAAAAGAGAAACTTATCTTGGTAATATATTATATTAACCCACCGTTTCATTTACTTCATGTACTTTATTTATTTGCTGGTGGCTTGTTTTAAAATCCTTTTTTTTAGGGAAATTGTTCTTTAATGTTAGCTAACTGCCAGCTGGGTTCCCTTACCCTTTCCTCACCCGCTGACCAATTGAAAATTTATGGCCCCTACTCATTGCGATTTACGAGCCCCGGGAGAAAGACTCGAGCGGCTAAGCTCCATCAACCGCAAATTGATCCATTGGCCATTTGATTTGGCCTGGCCAGTCCGGGATTTATGGCCTATACAAAAGAGTCGAGGAAAAGGGAAAGTCCTGGTGGGTTTGAGGCGAAGACTGTCCGCATCAAAATCTATGTAAAATATTTTATGGAATGCCATGGTCTGTATGCCATAAACATGATTTCAATTTGTCATCAATTATGCAAAGCGAGTCTAGGAATGTGGCCCCAAACTCCGGCGCAATCCTTTGGCCCAGGAGTGGGTAATTTGCAGAACGGTAATTGGGTTACACAGGCGCATGCAACATTTATCAGCCACCCCCCTTATTGTCTGATGTCCTGGCGACCCCATCAACCCACCATTCCCTCTTCCACCTCCTTTGAACCCAGGCATTTGTCCTCTGACACGTCAATTGCATTCTAAACATTCAGCGCAGAGCTCTCAGCTCCCCACAAAACCAGGAACAGGAACAGGAGCAGAAGCTCATCGGCATGCAGGCACCGCAGTGGCGGCATTAGTCCTGGCACAAGGATACACACTCGCACATGGTCGCACACTCACTCGAAATGCATTTCGCGTCAAATTGTCAGAGTGTTAATTAAAAATGGACACTTGAATAGGCAGCAAGATGGGCAAAGCGCACACAGTTGCATTTTCCCTTCCAGCGGTCGTGGTAATTGTCCTGCACTCTAGCCAATATCCTTCCCCCTTCCCTTCCCCTGAAACCCCTCCTTCTCCATCATCAATCCCCCTATGAAATGTGGAGTGAGAGAACTTGAGCACTTAACGGACTTCTGTCTACGCTGAAACAAAGAAAATGATTACAATCTATTAACTGTTTGCCTTTAATTAATGAACTTCTTATCTGAACTATACTAAAATATTTTTAAAATGGTAAATTTTAATCCGAATTTAAAGTGTTACACCTTTAAACTATTCTAATAAAATTCTGAAACGATCTGCGTTCAAATTTTCCATTTCGGTAAAGGTAGATTTTTTACTTCTGTACATGTCAGGTTTTTTCAAGTTTTCGATGGCTTGCTAAAAGGTGACCGAAAAGGACACTTCCAGAAATCATAACTTTGTCAATTTTAATCTGACTTTAAAGTGGAATACCTCTAAACGTTTCTAATCGAATCCTGCATTCAAAGTTTTTCATTTTGGGATATTCGAAATTTTGTCCCCTGTTCATGTCAGATTTCTCCAAGATTTCTATGGCTTCAGTATAGTGACCCAAAACCGTACTTTCAGAACCCATTAATCCGATTCCAAAGTGGCATACCTCTAAACGTTTGCAATTGCATCCTTGATAAAACTGCATTCAAAGTTTTTCATTTTCCGATGGTCGAAATTTTGACCCCTGTTTATGTTAGATTTTTTTTAAAAGCCCCAAGGGTCTATTTAGCTATAACAGCTTTGATTAAATTAAATTTTAAATGACTTTTTTGCTTCATTTATAGCTCTCGACAATCTTTACAAAATTCTTTTTTTCCCAGAAAAGTGTCATAAGGCAATTAATACTTTATAAGTATGAGAGCCACTTGCCGTATCCGAAGCCAATCTAGTATTTGATTTATGAACCTCTAAGAGCGGAACACTTATAATAGGTTTCCTCCTGCCCCAGATGACTCTATCAGGATTTGTTTTAAGTGCTCCGTGCGATTTCCGCATTTGCATAGAGACCGTCTAGGCAATTTACTTTCGAAGAGAATCTTTTCCTGCGGCAACGAATATTGAGTGTTTACGGCCCATGGCTCCCTAGATAGATGCCTTCCCCTCCTATTTCCGAAATGCAGGCACCATATAATGCGTTTGCATAATTTTAATCGCTGGGATCTGAGCTGCAGAATTGCTGTTGTGTGAATTTTTTATGGCACCCGCGAGTGTCCTGTGCGGATGAGTATGTGCGTGTGATCTGCTGACTTTCAAGTCGAACAACTAACGCTATCGAAGCTATTAATATGCTAATTTATCGCATTTTATGGCAGGCAAAAGGGAACTCAACTTTTGGGCGGGGATTTTGGGGAAAAGCCAAGAAACACCACCCGGAAAATCCCAGCTCAACCTGCTGCTGTTACGTTCCAGCGGAATTAAAACCGAATCATTCATTTCATTCACAGCCTCAAATTGAAATTGACATTTTGTGCGTGAATCTCGGTATTATTTGACATTTTTCATTCCATATATATTTGGCTAATGCCAATCAGTTTGAGGATTTTCCGGCTACGGGAAAGTGGTTTTTAATGTCTGCACCGGCAGTCCGATGATGAGGCTGACATTTAAGACCCTTTCAAGGCAGCTGCTCCCTGACAAATGTGAAATAAATGCAAATCTCCTGAACTTTGATGAATCTAATATTTCCCCCCAAAAAAAGGCATTCCCAACCCCCCAAAAAATAGTTTCAGTCGTCTGCTGAATTTCCTTCGACTGCGAAATAAATTTCGTGTAATTTATTTAAGGGCCTGGCTTTTCATATTTTCATATTTGAGCAATGCAAAGTCCTGGAAAATGAAATTTACATCATTTGTTTATTTGTATCGCTCATGTCCTGTGTCCTGTCCTGCGGTCACCCCTCCAAGTCCTTTGGGAATTTCCCAGCCAAGCAATTCAGTAAGATGTGGCAGGCGAAAGAAAAAAAAACAACATCGCAAATTTGATTACCACCCACAAAATACAGAAAAAAAAAAAGGAAAAATTTTCGTTTGTTTGCATACATTTTTTTCTCCTTGCCAAGTTCCTTTGAAATTAACGCATTATGTTTATGTATTAGATGCAAATAGAAATGGCCAAAGGACCTTCACACATGGCTAGCCAAAGGGTCAGAAATCCAATTTCGCAACTGCCACTTCCTGGGGGTCTCCTTTTCGCATTTTCGCATTTTCCGATTGTAGATTCAACATTTTTATTGCACATCAAATTGTCTTTCCAGAAATCGCTCGAATATCCTTTTCCCCTTCAGTTACGAATCTTTGGGCCAGGTTTTAATTGCCGACATTGATTTCACCATGTGTGTGCACTCGAAGTCAATGTCGTAAGCGGTTTGGCAATCACCATTACCAGTTACCAGTGGAATTTGCCAATTTCCACTCCAGACACCTCGAACCTAATCAGTTGAATGCGATTTCGATGTTTTCATTCCGGCGGGGAAAACCTGTGGAAATCTGGCGATGGAGAAGGGAAGCTTTGTTGACGTGACAGGAAAATTCAACACTCAAAGGGTTGAGCTTTGATGGAATTGCTGGCACTTTTCCACGTAAAAATGTACCAATGCTCTTTTTCGGCATTAATAAAAGAATATGTGGGATTGCAGCTGTTTGGGGTTAAGTTAACCCCGTCGCAGCCACAGGAGACCTGCCTTCCACTTGACACTATCGAACATCGCCAAGTCCTTGAAAGGAAATCTCGCTTCGGCTGTCAATTTGTTTTGCATACGGAATACTAAATCAAGAAATCAAAGGTCTCTGCGAAGTGGAAAGGAGCTCTAACATTTGGAGATTGGCAGGTTATAATGTTTTTTACCATGAGAACTTATGAAATTCTTATCAGGAAATAGTTTTCTAAAAGCAATTCAAACTTTTGAAGCATTAAAAGACCACATACAGTATCGAAATTATATTGATTTATTTATGAAGTGAGAAACCCTTTAAACAAGTGCATACTTATAATAGATCCCACTCTCCAAAGCAGCTTTATCTAGATTTTGGTTTTATAGAAACTATTTAAAACCAATAAAACTGAGAATGAAAATATGTGTGAAATTTTCCCTGCAATATTCGTTTTATTTCACCATAATTCATCAATTTCCTGAGCACAATTGAAAAGGAAGCACTTTAAATCTCCCCCTCGCTGAAATCTGCCGACAATTGTGGTTGAATCATTGAACTCCAATTATGAGTCGAATTTCGCTGGCTCTGGGTGAGCTGTAATTAAGGATTATTGTCATGTCCTTTCGGATGTTCAGGGGGTGAGTATCCGTTCTCCTTGCATCCGTCCTCCTTTGAGCTGGGATTGCAAAGCCGACCGGCGATGTGGCAAAAATATAAAAATTATTGATTATCAGCATTGGCATCTCAGCGATTTGCTGCAGCGTCCCAATGTTTTTTTGTGCCTCCAGTGCTGCGGTTCGGTTCGATCCCATCATTAAAATCATTGTGCGATATCGACACCTTGGCCAGCACTTTTTTCCAGCACCATCAAATCGACTTGAATCGAATCGAATCGCATCGAGGAGGCACTAGTAAACATAATAAATAGCGGAGGCAAAAAGCGAGATCGTTTCGCTTGTCGCACAAGTGTTGTCAACAGGTTCTGCGGAATTCGCCTCCGACTGCAACTGCCAAAGTGGAGCTCTGGAGCTGTTCTGGAGTGTGTGTACTTTCTGGCAAAGGGACTTTAGGAATCGCGGAGAGGAGCTGCTAACCAGGTCCACCAATGCGAGGTGCTCCGTTCTGCGAAGATCGTCCATCATGCAGGGATGACAAGTGATCAAAAATGCAGCAATATTTTACAGCCAGCAGTTTGTTCCTCGTGTTTACAAGTTGATCGCTGATGAACGGGCTAACATTGGTTAGAAATGATAACGTGACACGAAGGGTGGCCTAAAATGAATAAACTATAAAGATATTTACTTAAATTTTAATCGAGTTTAAAGCAAGATTCTTTCTAATGCTAACA